TAACACCCAATACCCATTCCAATTTGTTGTTTACTCGCCCGTCTGCGTGCGTTTTTATGAATGAAAAGCAACAACAAGCGAAGACGAGCATTCGTTGTTGGCCTTTGCTTTGCTTATTTATGGTTAATTTATTTTTTTTGTGTTTTTTGCCCCGCCATCGTTTTACTTTTTGTGTTTTTCTTGTTGTTTTGATATTATTGTAAACAAATTGCGCCTTTGGGCACGTAATTAGCACACTTACACGATCGGAAAAAGCCCCTAGTTTCCCCCCGCCGCTGGATCTGGGAAATTGGAACGTGTCCATCAATAACTGTAACAAGGTCTCTTTCACTCGCTTCTTGGCCAGCAAAAGCGGAAGTGTTTCAAGCCACATTTCCGCCTTGGCCAGCAGCAGTAGCAGCAACAGCAGCGGACAGAGAAATGCTTTTCGAAAAGTGGCACAAAGCTAAGACAGCCAAACGAACAATAGGGGCATCGGAATGAAAGATCTTATAAATCAACAATATCAAGAGAGGATGGGGGTCTGGACATGATAGAAAGATTGACCTTACGGCTGACAAATAAATAATTAGTCCATGGCAATTGTTTTCACATAAAATCTAGTGGCCTTTTTATAAATGTCTTGTTGAGGTAATTTGGATTATTTTTGAGATGTATGAATATGTATTAAACGAATTTCTATAAATTTAGTTTTTAAATAATTTAAATGGCTTTAAGTCATTGGATTTTTCTTTATATCTTCATAAATGGTTCCAAAAATCCTTGTTTATAGTTTTAAAAAGCTGGAGTAACAAAATGAGAGTTTTAAGATTTAACTTTAAAATAGAAATATATAATAAAAAACGATTTTAAAGTCGAACTATGGGAAAGAAATATATAACCTTAAATCATAAAAACTTGGAACGTAAAAGGCTTTTCATCTATATTGATTACTTTAATAGTTTCCTAACTAAACATAATATTTATAAAAAATCACCTTCTTATAGAGTATTAAAAACTTCGACTGTGACTTTAGTAAACTGTGTTTTTTTGTTAATTCATATAAGAAAATATATATATATATTGTATCTATAAAAGTTGACTTGGCGCGCGCGCCAACAACAAAGTATATATTGTAGAAGAAGAAGAAGTCGAGGGAAAAAAGTGGGCAAACTAGTTTTTTGGTATCCGAGCATCCGTTGGACGCAGGTTGTTGTTCTTGTTGTTGTTGTTGTTGCTGCTATCGCTGTTGGGGCATTTTTCTCAATGGAGCTCTCCGAGATTGTAGACTTGGGCATTTTTTTAGGTGAATAATTGCTGTTGCTGCCAGCTTGCTTGTTTTTTATGCAAATATTTTTATATACGCGCCTATCGGTGTCTGAGCCACCCAGACACACTTAACCGATATATAGCCATTGTTGTTGTTGTTGTTGTTGTTATTGTTGTCATCGCTGTCTACTCTCTTTCAATATTTGTTTGTCTTTTTTATGATGATTATTATTATATTTTGTTGGCCTTTGAATCGCGCATTGAATAATTTCTATATTTAGCATAACAAAAATTCCAATCATAGGGGGAAAAAGCATAGATTGAAATTATGAAAACATGATATGCGAAATCAAGAGAAGCGCGATTCGATTCATTATGGGATTAAAGTGTTATGTTGGGATGGAAATGATTTTAGAAGGGAATTTCAATGATTTATAGGGTGAATTTGTTAAAATATATTTTGCATAGTTTTTCAACCAAGCTCTCATTTAGTCATCTACCAATTAAGGAACATAAAGATATGATCTATCTATTCTATAGAAGTAGACCGATTCAGTGATTGATCAATTAGAAGGCTCAGTGGAAGTTCCCCGAACAGCAAACGTTGACTTTTCATTAAATTAACGATAGTTCCCAGCGTAAAAAATCATTCACAAGAATCTCCCATCAAGAAATCATCACAAAGTTCACTAGAAATCCGATGGTCGATTCCATTGATGATTTCTGTGAACAGAAAGAAACTCATGAACATAAATTAACCAAAAGCAGATCAACGATTCACAAAACTCGTTCGAAGATGGTTGAATTAAAAATTGTCAAATCATGTCAAACATATCGGATGTATTGATTAGCATAAAAATTCCATAAATTACTATTAGAGGTGTGGCTGTTATAAAAACAAGTATTTTCATAAATATTTATTGCATGCTTTGGCATTAAGCATACGCACAGTTGGCCTGTTTGTTTCTATGTTTGGTCTGTGGCCTATAAAGCATTTTCACACCTGGCTGGCTGCAACACCAGAACTTAGCTTGGCCAAATAGCCAGAAAAGGAAATCTATGCTTGATTTGTTTATGCATTTCTCAGTCAATTGGAATTTCGTGGCAGACTCTTTTGATATTCCATTTCCAAAGCCCCGCTACCCATTTTCCCCCCTCCAACTCTTTGGCTTTTGGCCATGCCACGCGCACACACATCGACTTGTTTAGGCCAAATATGCGTGGCTGATCTGTTTGTATATGGCCAACAAATTGCCTGATCTCAGTTGTTGTTGCTAGCTGGCTGGATGGCTGGATGGCTGGCTTTAGCCATTCATACATTTGGACGGTCTGTCGCTTTGGCATTCATTCATTCATAGATTGACTTGCCCAGCCAAGCGAGAAGTTGAAGTCGCTGACGTAGCATTTGCTGGCAGCGCTCTGCTCATCCAGCGTTTACGTTTTCATTCATTCACACACACATGTACAGTGAGAGAAAATATGGATGAATATTGTCAATGATAAATATAAAATTGGTTTTAAAATGAAGTTCAATGTAATGTAATACGCATTTTCTTCATTGTAATATCCCATTGCTATCATATAAATATTAAATTTACAACTTCAAAGACTGATTTTTCTCACTGTACCCACTCATACATGCACCACCCCATGGCCCCTCTCCCTACCAAACATTTCACCCATTATACCATACCATACCATACCGTACCACCATCATTATGACCATCATCATCGACTTCTCGTAGTCGTCGTGGTCGTATTTCATTCATGAATTTTCTTTCATTCAGGTCTTCCCCGTGGCCCTTCACCACCTCCCTCCCTGCCCACGGATCTTGTCGTCTCTCTCTGTCTCTTTCTCGCCCCGTCTCAGTCGTTGTTGTTGAAAACGTTTTTAAATACCGGAACTGAATGTTTAGCGCTTTTAAGCATGGGAACTTTTTGTTTTCTTCTATCAACTTTCCTCTGCCTCCCTTCCTCGCTCCCTCCCTCTTTCTTGCCTTTTGCGCCTGTCTCTTTCTGTCCATCTAGTTCCCTCTCCTTCTGACTGCTCATTCATAGCCTTTTGTGGATCTATTCCGTTGTGTTCTATTCTCCAATAAGGCGTTTTTATTGCAAGTTTCCAAACAACAGGAATTCACTGCTCAATTTTTTCTTCGTTTTTTTTTTTTTGGTTTTGTCTATTTTAGGTGTTGTGTTGTGATGCTGTTTTGTTATGCTTTTTTTTATATGCGTTCCAAATTTATTGCAGACATTCGGATTTCAAAATTTATGAACCAAGTCGAACCGTATTCCCTTGGCTTGAAAGAAGGTTAGGGGGTATTCCGTCTAGTGGACATAACTGGAGTAAATTTTAAGGATTTTATGTTGGTTGATACTATACTATACTCCTTCTACAATATCTACCATAATATTTTTTGATTTTTTACACTTTTGCCGAATTGAAATCTCACAAACTAACGGCTGGGAAGAGGAATGTCCCTCATTGATATCGAAAGAGACTTGGATTTAGTCAGCATTTCAAACCTATCTAACCAAATGCCTTACTATTAGGTACCAATACTTGCAGAGCTTATTAGGTATTTCCAATTCGAACCTTTTTTAGCTGCCCTACCCCATTGCTTACTTGTGTGTATGTTGTCAATATTTTGCTTTTGATTACTGTTGATATTTCACGCCTTGGCCTCGTAGCAACATCAAGCAAGAATTCGATTTTCAGGGCGTGTGTTTTTTCTTGTCATATGACATTTGACATAATAGATATCCGATACATGATATATGGCAAAACTACTCCCTCCTTTAAGTCTATGAATGGATACTTGATTTATGGCCAGATCGGGAGTGGGAACAATGGAACAGCCGACTTGACCTATGATCTGAATTCGCATTGTAATGGATTTATGGGGTAAGATAACGGCAAGAACTTTTCGGTGGACCGTGGCTTAGTCATGAATACTCAGCATTGAACTCCTGACCCGGCCGGCTAATTGGTTTTGGTATCGCTCATATCGTTCGGTTATAGCAATTGCCACTTTAATTGATCAAATGCGACAGATCTGTTCAGTTGGTGTGTTGAGCTCGCCGGCGGCTGCAAACAACTTTCATTTTTCATCTAGAGCGAGTGTTGCCGCTGCAATTAAATGTGCCATATGCGTGTGCTGATATATGGTTAGTGGTTTTGTGGGTGTCAAGTGTAATGGCTATAGGGCGGCTGCTAAATATAGACAGAGTTTCTTGAACAACAGAAATAATACAAAAAAATAAAAACAACAAACTAAGACTCGGACCCAGCCCAAAAAAGTTGCATTGCAAAACCTGCTATACAGAGAAGGAAAATGAGTGCTTTTCGCAGATGGTTTTTGATTGATTTAGGGCAGCCTTAATGTTTAGTAACTCTTAGGTTTTAAATATGCCTTATTTTGACTTTTTTGGTCCTACGTTCTCTACGGTACATCATAAACCTTAAACCTTTTAGAGAGTAACTCATTTAGAGAATCTATCTAATCAATCGATATTGTTTTCTGTGTAGATGCTGCCGCTGTTGATATTGCTGGCGTGGGCATTTTACAAATGGCAACCAGTTGAACAGGTGTCTGCTGACGTTGTTGCCTGCATTATGCAACCTGCCATTGCCAGTTGTTGGTTTTATTTGTATGTTTTTTTTTTTAGTTGTTGCCCAGATCAATGCAAACATGTTGCTGCACGAGCCACAACTTGTAATTAGCCAGGCTAATCAATTGAATTTAGTTACTCACCCCCACTTGGTAAAGGATGCGCAGATCCCGTTCGCCGTGCTTGCTGATGATGCTGCGATGTTGCTGCTGTTTCTGCAACATTTGTCGCGCATGTCGCCGCGTTTCGGCGAGATCCTTTTCCGCGGCCGTCGTGGAAATGCTAACGACGGTGAGTTGTTCGGCTACAGGCTTTACTGTACTGGTGGCTACAGCTGCTGCTCCTGCTCCAGCTCCTGCTGCTGGTGAAATATCTTTGGCATCGTAGACTGTGTACTCCAGAGTCTTGTGCTTGTCCGCCGAGGATGTTGTCGGCGTGATCTCGAACACCTCCAACGGCAGTCGCGTGCCGCCGACAGCAACAGCAACGGCGGTCAGCAGCAACAGCAACATGCACGGCAGCAACATCAATGTCGTAGGCATGATTTATGGCTGTGGATGTGGATCTGGATCTGGATCTTTGGGATCTTTGGGATCTCGGAATCACCTCCTGAGATTTGTGCGTGTGGTTTTGTATTTTGCGGTTGTAATTGACACTCAATGAATTTTGTAATTGAATTCGAATCGAATTGAATCGAATCAGTGTTCTCGCTCGATCTCGCTCGCACGCCCAGAACCCATGGCTTACATGCACACACACACTTGCAGATACGAACTCTACAAATCAGGTTTCAAATCGAACGATCGATTGATTTGTGGCGAATGTCACTCGAAAATTATTGGATATTTCAGGCACTACAATATATATCGGTAGTTTCTGGTCGTTCGTTTGTTATTTAGTAACTTTACACCCGTCGCGCCGTCGCTGTCTCCGGTGGCCTCGTCTTTCGCTCCTGGATCGTATACTACTCTATAGTACCGCTGGTCTCTCGTCTCGACTCGTCTCGTCTTGTTTCGCTTCCGCTGCTCTCGGCAAATGGCTGTTCGCTCGACCAACTCACTTTTCGAACTGATCAAACAGAAAATCCAAAAACGAACAGCGAACGCCGAACGAGAGCTGCTGAAGCCGGCAGAGAAGTCCGCTGCTCGCGTCGCTGCCGGTGCGTGCGTGTCGGTACACGGAGAGAGAATGTAAGATCTAAGAATTATAATATATTTTGGACTATTTGGAAGAATTGAATACTAAAACAATATAATGCTAAATAATTTGCTTTAAATTTTTTTAATTGACCCTTAAACTTCATTCAAAAGGTAACCTAAATGTAATATCGACTTTAAAATATATGATTGTATCAAAATTATTTTAAACCTTTTTGTTTCCTGTGCACGACCGGCAGCGACAGCGGCAGAGCGTGAGAGAGCTCGAAAGAGAGCGCGTCGTGGGCTGGATATGAATGAATGAACATGTTGTTGCTGCTTTTCCCGCTGGTGGTTGCAGCATCCATTGCTGCCTTGCGCTGGTGTGCGTGCGAGTATCTGTGAGATGCATCTGTGTCTGTGCGGCTGTGTTGGTGAGAGCGAGCGGATGGCAAGGTGTCTCTGGCTCGCGTGCTTGGCTTAAAGAAAAAAAAAAACAAAATAAAATACAACAAAATAACAAAAAATATATATAAAGGGGGCCTCAGAGACAAGCGGCTTTTGCCGCTTCCGTTGCATCCTTTCGGCCGTTTTTGCTGCCGCCGTGTTGTTTTTGTCATCTTTACTACGGCACCGGAAACTAATTCCTGCCTTAGCCACAACGACTTGGACTCCGCCTCCTCCTGGCCTTCTTCGTTCTCCTTCTGCCGTGGTTTCATGTTTGGGCTTCGTTCTTGTAGCGCATGCCAAAAAAAGAACAGCAAAAAAAAAATCCAGAAAAAGAGTTTAACAAGAAAGATCTGGTTCTGAAGTCGAAGCTTGAAGTCCCCTTTTAAAATGTATCCCTTGAGGTTACAGTTTAAAACTATCTATTAAATATCTTATTTTGATAGATTTAGCATCAATGATGTTAATTGCTGAACTACTTAAAGATTTTGAAATTGAATGTTATATAAGATCATCCTATTCTTTAGAAAAATAGTTTCTTTATCGAGGAAGTGAAGTTAATATTTTGGTGCCAATCTTTGGGCGAATCAAACTAATGGAGTTTTAATTGTTAAGATTTTGAAGGAGGCTTTGCCTTTGCTTATGACTTTTTCTTCAGTTCTTAATAACATTTTAACGATAGACTTTTCCAAATCCTCCTTAAAACTTGAATACTTTAACTTAGAGTATATGGAGAGTACGAGAGAGACCTGGAAATGATCTCCAACTCCATCTCAAGCTTGGAAGTTCAAGCGAAAAACGCGCGCTGTTCGGCAGAAAGCCCGCCAATTTTATGGGCCAAACCCGATAAGATTTCATTTGTTTACGAGTTACCTTGAGACGCGCCAGAAACAACAACAACAACAATAACAGCAAGAACAGGCGATATAGGAGCATTAACCAGAACCGAGAACTCCAACTGAAAGGCGGCCATTGTTAGTTGGAGGTTTCCCTTTTCCCATTCTCATTCCCATTACGTTTCCCTTTTTCCAATTCGATTTCTAGCTAACGACCAACAGCTGATCAAAGAACATATCTCTTTTGCTATCATTCACAGGTAAAATGTACGCGGTAATTGGCCGGCGGCACGGCAAAATTCTCTCCGGCGATTTGACCCACGGCAGCGGCAACTTCGCGGTCACCTGTCTTCTGCCGGTGATCGAGTCGTTCAACTTCGCCCAGGAGATGCGAAAGCAGACATCTGGCCTGGCCTGTCCGCAGCTCATGTTCAGCCACTGGGAGGTAAGTACTGTACAGTAAGGACTCGGAGTTTAAACTTTTCAAAGCGCTAAAGTTTATGAGAAGGTTGTCCTCTGCTAGGAGGTGTCTTATGTAAATTATTACGATAGCCTCCGTAAAGGTCTATTTTAATGAAACATTACGAAGGTATGTTTAAAATGTGTTGTGTATGGCCACTGAAATGTGACGTAAACTACTTAAAATTTGTATTTGAATAAACCGAGATTGTTCTAAGTTTTTCATATATACAAACCAAAATTATTTACAGCTTCCCTTAAAAATAAATATTATACTTCCTATAGTCTCAAAGCGCAATCTGTGACTTATATTGCTTTTGGAATGATGTTTAAAGCTAACAACTTTTCATGAGTAAGTTCTAAATAACCCTTCGACACGTAATACACAGAAACTCATGGTTTTCTTTACATTTGTCGAATTAGTCAGATGGAAAGCCTTTATATTTAGTCAGATTAAATACCAAAGTTTTGGTAATTTCTGTAATATTTAAAAACTCACTCATAAAGATGATTCCTGAGATGCAAAAAGAAAAAGCTTCTTTTGGTTGGTTCTTCCAACTTACTCAGTGGTAACTGTTATGGACATTCTACTGTAACTGGCAGAGATTGCTGGAGCAGCTGTTGCTGCTGATGGGGCACAAGTGCAGCGCCTGTCCGACCATATGCCATGTGCGTGCCTCACTGTACTCCCTCTATTCCTGCCACCGATCCTCCTAGCCTCTTTACCCCAAAATTCTAGCTGGCTGTCTGTGGTCAATAAAAATCTCAGCTTACTCGGCTCTGAGCCTTCTGTTACCTTCTGTTGAAGTCTTATAAGCTAAAAACCACAGCCAGCAGCAGTAGCAACATGGCAACAGCAACATCAGTGGCAGCAACAGCAGAAGCAGCAACATGGCAACAGCAACAGTTGGACTGAAAGTTATATGGTCCATTTGAAGCTGCAGCTGTGTGCCATTCGAGGTAACCCAAAGCCCCAAACCAGACTCCCTCTCTCTTCCAGTCTCCTCCTTTCTCCATCGCATTCTGACCTTGTCGTGGGCCACAATTAACAGCCAACTTGTTGTTTGTTTCCCTTCGGTTTTATGCTTTTGGCTAAAAACGGATGGGACAAGATCAGCGGATGAGCTAAGCCAAGTCAAAAATACTAAAAAAGCTGCACAGCCCACAGAGGTGTAGATTGGGTATTAAAGTTATGGATAAAAGATATTATAATATTTAATTTTTATATATAAAACATCAAAAAGTACAGTGTTTATTAGGCTATTAAAAAATGCTTAAGATTAATCTCGATACAAGTTCCTTTATTGAGGACATACTGCTATTAGTTTCTAGGTTTTTATGACCACATAATTGAATTTATTATTAATATTTATGGTTTGAAGTAAATAATTTTGTCGCCTGAACTAAAAATCATTTTTAATGTGCGTGCATTCTGTATGGGTATTAGTGTCTCTATCAATGTGTCTGAGCTTGTGTTGGTCATATCGCCCAACCAATCGATAACAACAAGTTTTTGTATAATGACTTCCGGCGATTTTCTATTTCTCAGCCCAAGTTTTGCCGGCGACGGAGATGTTGTTTGCCGTTGCTTCGTATAATTTCTTACGCATTTCCAACGCCAGACAGCAGGAAAAGTGGAAAAGGGGCGGCAAAATGGGAGGGGAGTCGAAGTGCACAGAGAAAAATAACTTAGATATATTTATACATGTCAGTTTCTATAGTTCGATTTAAACTCAAATAATCCGTTTAAACATTAAATCGAGATTCTTAAACGAATTTTGTAGATGTAAAAAGTCTACTTTGCTCTTATTACAAACTCTTTCTTAATCTTTGGTTTTGTTCGTCGCTTACATTTTTTCTTTTTGTATCATAAATTTCCTCTGTATATCAATTAAGTCTATATCTTAACTTCTATCTGTGTGGAAATTTTAACGGAAACTGGTCAAGCCAGCGCAAGTGGAAAAGTATCTGAAAGATATTCGATTTGATTACGATTTCGATCATTACTCCTCAGCGAAGGTAAAGTGAAAACAATTAGGATTTCAGCTTACCTTTCGCCCGAGCAATTAAAAACAGTTGGTTTCAGCACTTTGTCCACGCCCACATGTGTTGGCCAGTGGCCTACCCGCCCTCTTGGGCACCCAACCCTTCCCATTTTGGTTGTTGTTGTTGTTGCTGTTGTTTTGAACCCTACCTGCCAGGTGAGTGGGACGGGCTCTTAGCCGTGGGCGCAGTTGTCACGTGCCCATAATAACAACGAAGGCGTCAACTTCACTCGAGTGGCCAACTTCTGGTTGGGGAAAACGGGAAAAAAAAGGGCCGAGCAATGGTTTGGGGCTTCGTGTGTTCCCAAAAAGCCATTTCCATTTCTTGCCGCATCATGGCCCACAATAAGTTCGTTAAGCATCTGCATTGCCGGATCAGCAGATCAGCAGCCGCAAGAAATCATCTCTGAAGATGACCTTTTAACGTGGAGCTTGGAATCTGGAAGCAGCAAGCTGAGCTGCTGCAAGCTGCAACCTGAAACAGAAACCGAAGACAACAAAAACTAATTTTCATTTTTCATATATCATAATTTTTCTTGTTATTGCCGTTGCTCTTTCACTTCACGTAGCAGCATTAAGACGGCAGACAGGAGCTCAAGAGTGAAGCTAAACAGTGCGGTTCATTAAAAGAATTTTAGATATATTTTTATGGTTTAAGGATATAATTTAACACACATTGCCTAATAACTGTTGGAAATATAAGCCAAATTATACGAAAAATATTAAAAGGAGTTGGTAATTTCATTTCCGTTCTAATATCTACTCCTATGATTAAAAAGTTATATAACACGGAACCATTAGACTTTCCTCTTTAAGGTAGATACAGATAGTTTAAAGTTTCAAAACAAATAACTTCTTACTGATTATCGATGAACGGTTACTATTCTAAGTTCTAGTTATATGGAATTGACTAAAGTTGACTTCAATCCATTATATTATTTTTGATAAATAGATTTAGAGAACTCTTCGAACTCTTCGGAATTAGTTCATAGAAATAGGTTTATAAAAATAATTCCTAAGCTCCACAGCTTATACGAATACAATGTTATGATACTGATATTCCTTGATCTGTACCAAATGACTGTAAGGTTCTTTCGTTTTTTAACAATAGTCTGAACAATAACTTTTTCCTTTGCCTTATGGCAATGAGCCGCACTGTTTAACCGACAAATATCTCTTCGTCGGGTGGCTACTGTCTTGCGCGCTTTTGTTATTATTTAATTTTGTGCTTCCTTTTGTCTTGCCCCACCTCCTCATCGCTGGCTGCAGCACTTCTCATCTCTTCTGGCCACTTGATGAACCCGAAGATTGTTATTATGATTACGTGTGTGTGTGCGAGACCAGGGAACGGGGCAGGAAGAGGGTCAAGACCTGCAGCCTACCAAAAAAAAACAGAAAAAAATAAAATATCATAACAACTTTGGCTACTGGTCTTACTTTCAGGCAGCCCTGCTCCGTGTTTTCTTCTGCTACGGAGTGTTGCATATGATTTGGTTCTGGTTGTTGTTGTTGTTGTTGTTCCTGCTGGTTGTCGCGCTTTGCATGCAAGACCTCAGTTCTGGAACTCTGGAACTACTTCAAAAGCATAACAGCCACGGCCACAACAAACTGTGAGCAAAGAACCAAGACAAATAACAAATAATCTGATAACTCGTTTTGTATACCTGCCACAGTCTTCGGCCCTGCCTCCCCCCACCAAAGGGAAAGTCTACGGTGGAGACAGTCGATAGGAGTGTGGGGCAGGGATAGGGACGGGGGTGGAGGTGGAGGTGAAGTCGGGGCGGGGTCAGATGGCAGGGAGAGAGGGGGCTTGCCCCGGGGGCGGGGGAGAGCATGGCAGTGCCCTAAAGTCTGCCTGGTGCGAATAAACACACACATACACATACACTGGCCAATAAAATTGATAAAGAATTAAACTATAAAAATATACCAAAAATATAATTATATACTGTAAATGTATTTTAAAAGTTAAGAAGGTTTTGTAAATGTAGGTTTATATTCGTATTTTTTGTTAATTTAAACTTAATTTATTTTTGGGTGATAGATTGACTATTAATGGGTCGTAATTTAAATTAAAATGGCTCTAAATGATCTAAAACCATAAGTCTTAACTTTCATATTGATTTCTTACTTTAAAAAATACTTCCCCATCATCCAACTGAAGTCAGTGACAGTATTTTTCCCACTGTGTAGGGATATATCCATGCCAAGGCAAGTGTTTATCCAAGTGGCCAAAGGATTGTTGTTGCTCTCCTTGTTGTTGTTGTTGTTCTTAAGTGGAACGTGGTTTGCATTGTCCGCTCGCTGGCTGTCAAAATGACGCTCATCGCAGTCCGCCGTCCGACTGTCCCGCTGTCCGTTTTGTCCGTTCGCTGGAGACTTTTACGGGCCCACAGCCCCCAAGTCTCTCGAATCAACTCGACTCAACTCGACTCGAATCGAGTTATATGTTCTCTGGGCCCGGTCTCTTTCACAGTCTTTCAGCCAGTTTCTGGCGCGCGATAATAATCTCAACTTGGTCTTGGTCGCGGACGGACAAATGAACAGGCGGACAAATGGACCGACGGACGGCAGCGTATTTCGGTAGCTGCCGCGTAAATTACCTGCATACAAACCGCGCGCGGTCGGACAGGTAAACACACTCACACATACAGACATAAAACTCATAAGCACACACAGATACAAAACACGTGTGTGCAAAGAGAGTTGGAGATACAGAGAGATATACCAACCGAACCATACCACATTTGTGTGTGTGTTGATGTCACGTCGTTTGGTTTTGGTTTTCAGATTTTTGTTTTGGTTTTCGCGGCTGCTTCAATATTTTTCTTAATATTTCATCCTCCAGTTGGGGGAAAGTTCTGATTGTGGAGGTGGTTGAGACCAGGACCAGGAGTGGGTGATTTAGGGGGGAACAGAGCCTTTGAATCGCCTGTAATCTGGAACGTGGTGCTGCATTAGTGGGGATAACCACCTTCCTTGGGCAATATACATAAGTGGGTTTTGCCAGCAGGACACTGACAGAAAGGCGAGCCCCAACTATACTTAGCCTAACTGCATTTAAAACAACTTAAGAACTAATATTGGTTATAATTTCATTAACTGACAGTACTAACTTATAAATCAATAAAGTTAAGATTCAAGAGCGGAATCAACTTGTTCTTGAAGAATTTATCTACCAATATTTAACCCAACATTTTATATTGATTAAAATTTATATTTACTGTTCTTCAATATAAAAGATTTTAAAATTATTCCAATACATTAATTCATATCTATGAAATTTGCATTTTACTTCATTAAATAAAAACCTTTAAAGGTCATCAGTTTTTTATGACAGTGCACTCAGCTGCCTGCTGGTGGCTGGCTGCTCATTTGTCTGGCCCGGCTCAGACGCAAGTTCTGCGCACTTCTGGAGCACTTCAGCTGCCACAGGGTCTCCTCCGTTTTCTGCCCAAGATTTGGAGTGGGAATGTTGGGAATGGGTATGGCGATGGGTATGGGGATGGGGACCGATGGAAAGATTGGATGCTGCTGCGCATGCGCAGAACCATTTGCAAAGGATGTCAGACTCGCTTTTGCGTTTCTGTTGTGTTGTGACAGGGATTGCAAACTGCGAACTGCGAACTGCGAACTGGGTACTGGGATTGCCAACTGGGATTGCCTTACCTTGTAGAGGACTACCGCTTGGCTCCCTATAGTGCCCCCATTGTTCCCTTCGATCCCTTGGCCACTTGGCGTTGTTGGTTGTTGTTAAACAAGCGAAACTTTGTGCCCGATAATGATCTACATGGGATTGCGAAGATGTTCGAGGGCCCGCAGTTTAGCGTAGTGCGAACAGATGGCCCAGAACACGCACTGCGAAAAAATCATCAATAGGTCTTGAATTTTCTGGAATTTTAAATAAGTATCTTACGTAATCAGATTAAATTTGGCAAAATTAATATATAAACTGGAGTTCCGGATGATTTTGCTTATCTAAGATGGAAGTTCATTAACCTTTTTAATATTTATCTGATTATTAAAATGCCTTAATAATTTTCCCATTTTATTTTTTGCTGTGCAAAGAAAAGTTTCTCCCTGACAAAAGACCAACGCCTTGGCATCTTAATCAGTTTTCGAGCAAGCTCGCTCATTGATGGGGGAATTCATAAAGTGTAGAACCGAATTTCTGGAATGGGAGAGCGATGAGTTTTTCCACCGAACCGCTCGACACCCGCCCGCTGAGTGTCGAGTCCTCGCTGGAAAAAGGAAAGAAATGAAAAGGAAAACAAAACAATGCTGATCTCACACCAGAGATTTTCAAGTGGTTCGCCTCGCAGGAGGCAATCATCAATCAAGCGCAGGGAATGCTCTTCACGCCATTGAGGAAATGCCCAATACTCCGGTTCTCCGGTTCTGCGTATCCTGGCGAGCCTGCCTTATCACGTAACGCGCAATGCGTGTCCCTGCGTCCTTTGAAAGTCATTAAGCGTCGAGTCCTTTGTCGCAGCCTCTCGAGCCTAAACAATAAAGATGTGAAAATGCACGCTTTCCCTGGCCAAGAGACAAAGGGACCATGCTTAAAGACTGAAAAAATAAAACCCCGACTCAGCCCAAAAACCCAACCCAAATCCAATCCAGTGCGAGGCGCAGGCGCATAGACACAGCGACGCCTCATTCCTTTTGTCCCGTCTCAAGTGCCTAAATGATTTCCCGGAATTTACACCCTGCGTTTGCTTACAGGTGATTGATATCGATCCCTTCTGGCTGCCGACCACTGAGGAGGAGCTGATGCACTTTGGCGAGAAGGCGGACTCCGCCAACAGGGCCAAGGTCTACATGGACAGTGTCCGGCGGAGGAAGGGTCTCTTTGTGGACGAGCAGGTGGTGGAGCATGCGGAGAAGCAGCGCACTCTATCCAAGAACAAATGATTCGGAAGGAACTTCGGGTAAGTTGAACCAAAATATTTTTTAAAAATCCAAAAAATTTTAAATCATTATTAAACTTATAGATGGTCCACTCATTAAAATATTAAATTAAATATTAATTTTGTAAGGATTATTATTATTCTTTATTTTTTAAAAAATCTTTATACGAGTATACTTCAAAATTCTATAACTACAACATTTCTTAACGCCATTTCGTATGGGCAAACGATTTCCTGCCGAGAGTTAAAAAAATATTTTTTTTTTGTATTAAAAATCCTTGCATTTTTAATGCATTAGCTGCCTTTCCAGGACTCTTGTCTTTTCTTAGGAATTATTAAAAATATATGGCTTATAAAAGCTGGTCTAATTTTTATCTTCTTCAGTGGCCGCGTTCAGTACCGCCTCCTTTTGGCTTATAAGACCGCTCTCATTTTCGGGAACTTCTGCAACGGCCAGCGAGTTCTGGCCCAAGATAATGTGAATGCAACTGATAGTTAAAATAAAATATAATATTAAAATAAAAAGTAGTGAGTGTTACGTCAGGGGAAAACTTACAGTATCAACAGAAAGACTGCTATCTGAGTAGCAATGGTTAGCATAAAGACATTTCCACCGTAATTGGTTTTTATGGTCCCTCGATAAAGTTGCGAATAGCAGACTCCGCTGATGAAGGGCACCGCATTATCACAAACCGAGAGCAGGGCAAACACCTTTCCTCGCTCCGATGTTGGCACAATTTTCGAGGTCATGGCCCGGATCATGGGGCCCACAATCGGACCCAAACTACAGACCACTGCTCCGGCGTACAGCAGATCCGTATTGGTGGCGAAGTAGAAGAACAAACGGGCTATCGAATGGGCCCAGGTGCCAATAAAGATTATAGTCTAACATAGAAAATGATAAAAAAAAATAAATTGGTTTTGATGATGGGAAAACCTTACATTGACACAGCTTTATCTGAACATAATAGGGAGTGAGGACTTACGGAATCCCTCCATCCAAGGACCTTGTTCATCAATGGGACAGCGAGTAGCATGGCAATCACGTAGGCCGATGACTTAAAGGTCTTGAAGTTACTGTACGCACTCACATCCCAGTCGAACTTGCCCAGAGTGTACATGTACAAGTACTGACCCTCGTCCCGCTGGAAAGTATACAAGGCCATGCTGATCAGCAGGATAATGAGGAAACTGCGACGGTGCCCCTTTCGTGGTTTCACCAACACCACAAACGAGTCCTTAACGTGCTGTTTGTCGAAGAAGTCGCCCCAGAATCCACAGCATCCAAGTTCTCTCAGGGAACGCTGTCTGGATGTTGTCTGCCACTAGAAGTTTTAATAAGAAATTTTATGAAATAAATATAACATATTTAAGGGTTTTATAGTTTAAGCAACAGAGTTCAGCAATGAACGAATAGGGAAATAGTGAAATCAAACTATCATAAAAGAAAGTTTGAATTTGCCTTGATCAACTTTTTAAATGCTTTTTAGCATCAAATTTCAGAAAGTTCTTTAAAAAACTTTAGGTGCTAGAAAGTACATAGCATTTGAAGTTACACTTCTTTTTTATATGTTTTATTTCTTAGAGCTGATTTGTAAAAGATTTATAATAATGAAAATGTACCAAGATATGGAAGATAGACTTACCTTCAGGGCAAACAGAGTGTAGATGATAGCCAGGGCTAGCAGGGAGGCATTCACGGTGAACATGTCCGCGTAGGACTGATCGAAGACATTGTAAAATAGATGCGAGCCCAGCGCAACGCCCAGGGGCATGGCACTGAGGTAGATCACATCCAGGATGGTAACCCGGATTGTGCGCTGCTGCAGCGTGGAAATGTCTGAGATGTAGGCGAAACAGGAGGCGAAAATGGCCACATCAGCACCAGTCAAGGCCGATGGCAAGGTGGCCGAGTAGATGATATTCTGCACTGGCCATGTAGGCATCCTGGCATTGACAACTATCATCGAGGAGTAGATGAACTTGCCCACCAAACCCATGAGCAATGGTAGTTTACGGCCCCGTCGATCAGAGAATGAGCCCAAAAATAAGGCCAAAATAATGGGAAATATATGGGCGGAGATGTTTTCCCACTGTAGGAACCAAGCATTGGTCAACATCGACTGTTCCTTGAACTCCTGGTACTCCGCCTTGTTGAGATTCCGGCAGACCTCCTCCGTGAAATTGTTGTTCACACGACAGGACTTGTATAGAAAGAAATTCTGCTCCACCACTGAGGTGATCATAAACGCGAACATGTAAAGGAACATTGTGGGCTCCACGGAGATGGATTTAACCACGTGCCATACCCATTGGCAGGCGGTGCGAAACATCCCCTCGGCCTGCTGCTCCACAACATTGCCGGCTGAACTGTTCTCACTGTTCCCACTGTCACGTCTTTGCGTAGCATTTTCAGATTGTGCCTGCAAGTATGCAAGGGGTTTTTGAAGTTATGCTTTAAGGTTCGTTTTAATGCTGGCAATGCCATTGATTTTTATGAGAGGGGATTTGGTTTAGACTCTTTTTTATTAAGAAATTAGATACTCTACCAAAAGTATGTTTAGCTATTCGCTTTCTTAGAAAATTAATTGCTTAATAGGTCTTAATTATTATTAAGACATTATTGTACTGTATACATTCTGTAATATAAGCCAAAGAGAATTAATCAGAAATGCAATTTTATAAAGACCACCCTTATTTCTACTTTAAAATCCGTCCCCAAATATAGTAAAATTAGAGATGCTGCACTGCCTAATTTCCTAGAGATCAGTTATTATATAAATTTTTATTAGTTTTTCCAATTTTTTTTTTAATTTTACTATGACAAATTCTTTATATTTTTTGTTTTCTAAATTTTGAATACTTAAAATTTTCTAATTTAATTTTTAATAAAAAAACAAAAACAAAATAAAAATTTCAAAAAAAAAAAAAAATAAAATGAATATACATAATTATCAATTATGTGCTGACACTTTGTGACAGTCAGTAACAAGGATTTTAAATCATTAAAGTTTCTCCAAACTCACGTAATGTAGAGCATCCACACGTCACTACCACCTTAACATTTTGTTCGCCACATGTTTATACCTTTATTATGGCTAGTAAACAATGCGATAATCTACAACTCGTATTACATTGTTGGAATTAAACAGATCTTTACTTCATTGGTTATCGATTTATAAGGAAATCACAAGGAAAATCAATAACATAAACTATTTCCTAGGTCTGATATGTTTCAGAGATTTATTTGGATTGGCGCGTTTTGCTGAGCATCACTAAGCAAACGCGTAATCACTTAACGTATCGCGTCGCGTCAATTTTTGTGATTTATTTAATTGCGATGAATTAGAAGAAATTGTGTTTAAGTTATATGATAGTTTTTGGTCTCTCACTTCGTGTTTGTTAATTTTAGCCGGTTTGCAAACAAAAACAAACCATTTAGCGGTAGGTAGCGGTTAAGAAACACTCACCTCTGTGCCACTCATTTTCACACTGCGCACTCGCTTTCTCTCCCGCTCAGTTAAATATGTTGCAGCTCGTGTTTGTGGTTGGCTTTCAGAGCTTTTATGCTCTCTCGCCGTTTTTTTAGCTTCCAATAGCTTTTAAAAATCAAAATTTAACCGCCAAAAGGCAGCTTATCAATAGATTACTTTTTTCAATAGTTGCATGGCTATTTTGTTATTCAATTGCTATTTGTTATGCAAATTTGCCAAAGATAAGAATTGTAATAGTAATGGGTTATATTGGGGTAGATTAGTATATTTGTTATTTTGCTTTGATTTTTAAATTATTGTTGTTTTTCCTACACATTTGTTGAGATCACAAGGTAACGTCCTCCACCGTTTGAAAGTAAATACATTTATCCCAACATTTTTATTTTAATTAACAATGAAATTGCAAAAAAATTGTAATCTTGCACTTGCAGCTTATCAATAGATTGTTTATTTTTTAATATTTTCAAAGCATTTGTTTGGTCAATTACACGAAAGATTAGAATTATTACACTGGAATTTAAGGCTACATCATTTTAATCATTTATTTATCTTAAAATTTGGTTTAACACACGTGTAACAAGTTTTATAAGCGTCTGGTGGAACTTTTTTGGATTTCCCTAATTATCGAACCACATGTATGTAGCTCTCACTTTTCGTTCAAGATCTTAAACGTGCAATAGTCCACTAAGCACAACGATAAGGAGTTATAAAAGTTTAATTATAGACCAATTAGGTCTGGATTTACAATGCTGCCTACTATTTATGGCGATAACTCTCAACTGGGGTTTTCATTTCGTTAACTGATACACTGCGGTCACTAATATAATAATAATAAGGTACGCTTTTTCTTATTATTATTATTTCATTTGTTTGTTAAAATTTAAATCATTACGCAGCAATTATTTCGTACTGATATATGTGTATTCCATTACACATATATTTATAACCACTCGGATGCGACTTATCCGCTATACAGCTCGATGGCAACTGAGAATTCAGACGGTAGCTGTGACCACTCAAATACGGCTTATCAGCTAAAAAGCTGATACTCAGCGATTTCGATTTTCCACTTCAATCGGAGCTACTATTTACATTTTCCTTTGCTCTTTATATATTTAACAATGTATTCCATTGAATTTTCCTTTAAGCTGGCAGCTTTTTATAATAATATTTTTACTTTCTTTTATTGCAGCTTTTGAAGTCTTTCCTGCTTAACTCCCCGAATTGGATATAATAAAACATGCTGGTGAATGACATATATTTTTCTATTATGACAATTATTTAGTATACAAATAAAATGTTACAAATTTTGTATAAAAACTCTTTTAAAAATATATTAGTTTAAAAAAAAAACAATGTTTTCTGTAATTTGTAGGGGATCTTAGCAATTTTGAAAACGGCCTAGAAGTATGCAACAACCTGCAAAAGTTTAAGTAGTTACAGTTTTAGAAGGATTATAAATAGATGTTTTGTTAGCCGTATAAAAATATTATAAACTAAAAGTGAAAATGATAATATTTTATATTTTGAAGTGATAGTTTACTCTCTTAATATATTTTTTGAACGACTAAATGGGGAAAATATTCTCAAAAAGGTCATATTACTATATCGACGTAACAAAACTAAGTTATGAACTTCATTTTTATCTTGCATCTTATCACATTAAAAAGGCAATTAAAACTAACTTGCTCATTAATAATAAGATGTATCACTACATTTTATAATAAATCACCCTAGAGGAACTTATTTTTCAATTAATCATAATAAATTTAAAAATTACTCAGAGGAAAATAAAAAATTCTCTATGGTAATGGAAATTAGCTTAGTAGAGGTGTCAGAATTACAGCTGCTGATTAGCAGACTTTTATTTCTGAATCAATTTCTCATTTTCTTTTGTGCGATATAGATGCGAAAACCCGTAGCAAAACAGAGACGAGAATTGGCTACCATCTGGTTGTTGGCTTTCCCGAGGCAGCAGCGGTTTTCCCGTTGGCTGCTTGGATGCCTCTGCCGCTGCGGGGCTTCCCGGTGGGTTGGTCTGGACTGCATTTTCCGCTGGCAATGGTAATTGGAGCCGCAGTCGCCTAAGTCGCTGCTTCTGCTTCCCAAGCGGTCGGTAAACTGCAAGACGATCGAATGCTCTCTGCCAGGGCCACCCTAAAGATTGTGGACCCCGCACCTCTAGTTTACCATATTTGCATTGTGGGGTGCTGAGGACCACAGTAGTTAGTGGCACTGAGAAACTTTAAAAATATTCTTTGTTACAAGTGATGCTTGAGACAGGCATTTTATATCTAAGAAATGCACTTTATTAAAACTTAATATCAAAAATGTTCGTTTAGTCTGTACTCACTGTACCTGTCTATCTTATTGTCAACTTGGCTGCGAAAACTTCTCGCCAGAGTTAAGTTTGTTAGTTGTTGCCCAGCTGTGGCACGCTTCGGTTCAGAAAAAATCATACTCCTCAACCGTAAGATTTAACATAAAACCCCAGAGATAATGTCGGACTCAGATAGCAAGCTGATCGATGTGGAGGCACCGGAGCCAGTGGAGCAGCATGAGCTGCAGTTAATGCCTGTAGGCGGCACCATCGAGGTGCCCAGCTTGGACAGCACTCCTAAGCTATCGAAAAGGAACAGTTCCGAGAGGAGTTTGCCCCTCAGAAGCTACAGCAAATGGTCGCCCACGGAACAAGGTGCCACTTTAGTGTGGCGGGATCTGTGCGTTTATACCAATGTCGGTGGATCCGGGCAACGGATGAAGCGGATCATCAACAACTCAACGGGGGCCATTCAACCGGGCACTCTGATGGCTTTAATGGGCTCGAGGTAAGCTGCTGCAGAAATTGATACTGCTTGAGTTCAGGTCCACTCGAGTGGAATGTGACCAAGAACATGCTGACCAAAAATGTGTTAACTATGTCAAGATTTCTATTTTTGACTGATGATCACCCCTCTGATAAGAAGAGATTCTTCTAAGTTTCGCCCCCTCATAAATTGTCTCCCATTCACAGTGGCTCTGGGAAAACAACACTGATGTCGACTCTTGCATTTCGACAGCCGGGTAAGTGTTCTACCACTAAGTAGTTCCAGATAAGATTAGACTGATCTCCATTATCTTTGTCCGTTCCATTTGCATTTGGATCTGCGGTGCAGCCGGGACCGTGGTTCAAGGCGACATTCTGATAAACGGACGGCGCATCGGGCCCTTCATGCACCGCATCAGTGGCTATGTCTACCAGGATGATCTCTTCCTCGGATCGCTGACTGTTCTCGAGCACTTGAACTTTATGGTGAGTAGAGGGTTTGCGTCTAGAAATTGGTATATATTTGTAGGGGGATTAAGACCTAAGAGAGAGAAAGTTATAGAGACTGTAGGTAACAATTTAGCTTACTCTTACTAAGAATACATTATCCATTTTCCTAATAGGATTCCAATATGCTTGCTCTTTCTTCTATTCCAGGCTCATCTTCGCCTGGACCGTCGGGTTTCCAAAGAGGAGCGTCGTCTCATTATTAACGAACTTCTGGAACGAACTGGACTGCTTTCAGCAGCTCATACTCGGATTGGTAGTGGCGATGACAAAAAGGTTCTTTCAGGTGGAGAACGGAAACGATTGGCATTTGCCGTTGAGCTGCTCAACAATCCAGTGATCCTGTTTTGCGATGAACCCACCACGGGATTGGACTCCTACAGTGCCCAGCAACTGGTGGCCACATTGTATGAGTTGGCCCAGAAGGGCACCACCATCCTATGCACCATCCATCAACCAAGCTCTCAGCTCTTCGATAACTTTAACAATGTAATGCTGCTAGCTGACGGACGAGTTGCCTTCACAGGATCACCCCAGCACGCCCTGAGTTTCTTCGCCAATCATGGTTATTACTGCCCAGAGGCCTACAATCCAGCTGACTTCCTCATTGGCGTCCTGGCCACGGATCCTGGATATGAACAGGCCTCGCAGAGATCGGCTCAACATCTCTGTGATCAGTTTGCCGTCAGCTCGGCGGCCAAGCAGCGGGATATGCTTGTCAATCTGGAGATTCACATGGCCCAGTCAGGCAACTTTCCATTCGACACGGAGGTGGAGTCCTTTAGGGGTGTGGCATGGTACAAACGTTTCCATGTAGTTTGGCTAAGGGCATCGTTAACTTTGCTCAGAGATCCCACGATTCAGTGGATGAGGTTCATCCAGAAGATCGCCATGGCTTTTATTATTGGAGCTTGCTTTGCCGGCACTACGGAACCTTCACAGCTGGGAGTGCAGGCGGTTCAGGGAGCCCTTTTCATCATGATTTCGGAGAATACCTACCATCCCATGTACTCTGTGCTCAATCTCTTTCCCCAGGGATTCCCGCTATTCATGAGGGAAACACGATCCGGACTTTATTCCACGGGACAATATTATACGGCTAATATATTGGCATTGGTGAGAGCTAACACTTATTTCAATATTTTTCATATCTGCGTATATTTTCAAACCTTTTTGTTGTTTATTAATTCCAAAAATAGTTTATTTTGCTTTTATTTCGCAAATGAACTATGGACTTTATCAGTAAGAAAGGTGATAAAATGACTCCAAATTTCTAAGTCATAAATGTTATCTAGACTAAGTATATGTTGATATTCGCTTTTGATAAGAAGAAATAGATTATTTGGTTTTCGAAATTAATAATGTTTTTCCATGTTAAAAAATTACAAAAATTGTATTTTATTATAAGCGAATTTATTAGGATTTATTTAAGGTTTTATTAATAACAGCAATAATCTTTGCTTTATGTTTTATTTTTAAAGCTACCTGGAATGATAATTGAGCCTTTGATATTCGTCATAATCTGTTACTGGCTGACGGGTCTGAGATCCACCTTCTACGCTTTCGGAGTGACTGCCATGTGCGTGGTCCTGGTGATGAATGTGGCCACAGCCTGTGGTTGCTTCTTCTCCACGGCTTTTAATTCAGTTCCTCTGGCCATGGCCTATTTGGTTCCCCTGGATTATATATTCATGATCACCTCGGGTATCTTTATACAAGTGAAGTGAGTGATGTTAAATCTGTGTTTTAGAAACACTCTATCAAGGGATTCCTTTGTCTCAGCTCCTTACCTGTGGCCTTTTGGTGGACGCAATTTCTTTCGTGGATGCTTTATGCCAATGAGGCTATGACCGTTGCTCAGTGGTCGGGAGTGCAGAATATTAGTAAGTTGAAACCGAATCAAATTTTATAAATTCATATTTATTTATTTTAAATTTTTGTAAAGCCTGCTTCCAGGAGAGTGCCGACTTGCCTTGCTTTCACACAGGCCAGGATGTGCTGGACAAATACAGCTTCAATGAGAGTAATGTCTATCGGAATTTACTGGCCATGGTTGGCCTATATTTTGGCTTCCATTTACTGGGCTATTATTGCCTTTGGCGACGAGCCCGCAAGCTGTGAGGCATCTCAGTTTTAGGTGTAAATAAAATAACTAAAAAACTATGAAATCATTAAATAAACAATGCATCGATTTTTTCAAATTAATGGCGCCATTTATTAACACATTTTGCTTTTTATTTTCCTTGTTGACTGCACAATGAAACATTTACATTTTTTGGTTTCTTTATCAACATGAAACTGAACATCAAAGCTAATCAACATCAAGTTCAATACACGCGTACACTTATGTATATATATAAACTATATAGGATACTTCATATTCAGTTAAATTATAGTTCGTAGCTAGTCGTAGTCAAAGGTGGCCGAGAGGCTTTCGTAAAACTTGCGAGTTAAAACTAAGTAACAAAAGGTTATAAAATAATTTATGCATCTTTCATCTTCTTCATAGAAATCACAGCGAGAATTTTGTTTGTTTTTCTTTGGTTTTCCATTTTGTTTACACATTTTACATATATATTTATGTTGTATTTGTTTAAATACTTTATATTTAGTGTTGATGCTTTCAGCAACATTGAGACATACAGACATTGAAACACATTTAACGTTACATATAAACGATACTTCTTAACATTCAACGTGGCTTGTATTTGATACGCTTTTCATCTGAACTTAGATACTAGTAAATATCGTTTGTGCAACAATTAAATATAGTTTTTTTGTTGCATTTCAATTGACAGTTTTTTGTTTTAGTTAAGGAGAGAACACCAGTTAGGGACAGCCAAAAAAGTTTAGGGTTCTTTGTTCTTGATATGATAATATGGTAATATGGAGTTTATGATGAAGACTGCCCCTTAACTTGGTGTGGAAATGCCCTTCGGGGGAATGCAATCAGCTTCAACTTTATGCAATAAAAACATTTATTTTGGTAATAAACTAAATCATAAATAAGAAATATCTGGCCACCCTATACATACATTATTTTCAAATTGCATTCCCCATAGCAACATATAATACTTATTTATGAACATTTAAATTCGATTTCTTTTGCACACTTATCCATTTTTGAAATTTACAAACTACTGCAAACACACATAGGAACCTTACACACCTACACTCCATCCCAAGGACTCGCCGCCCAACTTACAACCTATCGAATGCCTAACAGTTCTAACAATGCTCTTTGGTACCCAGTTGAAGTGCAAGATTCTGCTTTCGTACTTTGGTTTTGTGTTTGATATGGAATTTACTTTTTGTTGGTGCCCTGAAACGCTAACTGAGGAACATGTAAAGCTACATTAAATGCGAGATCATACAGGGGGTAAGGGGAAAGCTGTGAGTACAGTCGAACTTCTGAAGAATGAACACTTACAAAAGAAAGTACATTTAAATTCTTGAAAAATGGTAAAATATTGGTATTGGATTTGCTATTATATATTTTCGAAATAAACGTTTTTTAAATAAGTTTTAAGTGGAATAAGACTAATACTAAAATGTCTAAAAATTGGAAAACCCGTATGAATTGATAAGGAAATCTATGGGTATATTTTAATTACCAACTGAATTTTATAATTTTATTTAACCTTCTTATTATCAGTGAAGATTTTTGTATTCAAGAATCATTTCATAGTCAAAATTTATATTATTTTTTTTTTTATAATAAATAAGATAAAAGAGAAGTACCCATCTAAAGAAGTTCCACTGTACCGAGTACTGGCAAGCCCAATCAATCTATAAGTTACCTACAGCCTAGCCCTAACCATTATCCTTACCGTTACCTTTATCTTTACCGTTAGTGCTACCTCTAAGCCTCAACTAAGTGCCGACGGTTTTGTACATATTTACACGGTTGCCTGCGCATCCTTTACGTGCTGACATCCTGCAGGAGTCCGGTCCTCGGGCTGCTACCACCTCCACTCGTTCCCAAGCCGGAAACCGTTCCGTTCGTGCTGCTGATGAGCACCATACTCCGGCTGTTGGGCAGGACAAACACCTCGGTGGTCAGTTGGCCAATCGGACTCATAGATTGCGAGGTCTTGATGGGACTTCGGTTGGGTTCCAGTGATGCAGTGCGAGGCTGCCAGTCCTGCGATGAGTTCTCGGTGGAGGATTGCTCTGGCACCGAGCCACCACTCTCCAGAGTTCCAGGCGCCGTCTGCGTGGAGCTCTGACTTTCATTGGACAGCAATCGAGTGGTTGTCGAGGTGGTGAAACTCGCCGCAATGGTGGTCACCGAGCGACGTTTCTTCTGCTGCGAGGAGGAGTTTGATGACCCGGAAGAAGAGGAGTAGGGTGTGGCTGTGGTGGTCACCGTCTCCGTCACGTTGAAACTCACGATGGTGTCCCTTTTCCGCAGAGTAGTATTAGTAGAACTGCTCGTTTCCCCCCGAAGATTCTGTTGCTGTTTGTTGCTCAGATCGGACAGGCTGATGTTGTTCTTCAGGAGGATCTCCAGGTTCTCAATGGAGTCCTTAAGTCCAATCTTCTCATCCCTGGCTATCTCATCCTTGAGATCCGCCACCAGAGTTCTCGGCGGGGCAGTGGGCGTGGCCAGAGACTTATTCGCTCCTCCACACTCCGAGCAACTATCGGTGGTTGTGGGATTTGGATTTGAATTTGGATTACCACTTCGTAGGATGGCGGGCAGGGCACCGATGGTAACCACACTGGAGCTGTTGGAAATGCTGGGGGTTATGCCAGTGGAGCTGCTCACAGTGGTGCCAAAGGAGGAGGATATATTGTGCTGCCGGCAAAGAGACTTCCTCCTCTGCGCTGTCAGGTTCTGCATATTGGAGTTCATATCGATGTCGGGTGAGGGTAGTAGGTCATCCTCCTGCTCCTCGGAATCGTCTTTGGTTGGCTCCTGCTGCTTCTCCACTTCATTAGCTAACTTTTCTGGCTCCTTGGCCAAAGTCAAGGTCTTTGGTGGCTCAATCTCGGCCTTGGCCAAGTCCTCTTTCACTTCTATGGGCTTCTTACCCTTCAGGAAGTAGGTGATCATGGACCCCTTGCCCTTCACGTCCACGCTGCCGCGACAGGTGAGCTCGAAGCCACGCCCCTCGAGTATCTGCTGCATCTCCTGTGTCACCTGAAAGGATGGACCAAGAAAATAACGTCGGGAAGAGAAGAACAAGCGATAACATAAATTCCGGCTGACAAGTTCAATGGCTGCAGCCGAGGACAGAAGGAACTGGCTCAGCTTTTATTTATTCACCCACTCACCCGTGGCTACATATTTCATGATAACACCCAGGAATCTGCTCCCCTACAAATCCCGCTCCTTCAATCCCCAATCCCCTCGAGCGGGACCCGCTTAATAATTTATTTCCTTTGCAAATTTGGTTCGCCTTTGCTTCGTTTTATTGACAGCATGGAAGCTTGCCAAATAAAATCAAATGCGCATTTTTATCTGTATCTGTATTCGTACACATTAATACATTAGGGTGGACCTACATTACCTTAATTGGATATATTTTAAAAGAGTTCGTGATAAAGTTAAAGAAGAAAAGACGTTGTAGTTAATAGTTTTTAATTTCTCAAGTTTTACCTTCTTTTCAAAATAAAAATTTGATAAAAAAGATTTTAAATTAATTACTTACAAAAATAAAAATATATTAATATAATATTTTTTAATTATATTTCTTAAATATTCCTAAAATAAGAGCTAAAATTATCATTTTTTGTTTTAATATATTTATCTCTCTGACTATTAGGTCCACCCTAATTCCAAAGAATCCTTATTCGTACTTGTGTACCTATATCTGTGTCCTTTTTTTGGTCCGTCTGAATGGGGGAAAAGTTTTCGTTGACACTAAAAACTTTGTCACTGAAGTGGTCAGCCCAGGTGGCCATTGATTAGGTGGGCGTGACTGCGCCCAGCAACTCTTCTTCCTTCTTCCCTTCCCAACAACTTTATTAAGAAGAATTTCCCGTTCTTCGCAACTAGCTAAAACTTTCAATGGCGAAAGTGTGGCAGCATAAAATCCAAGTGAGTGCCCCCGATTAGCCGATGATTTAATCAAGACTCACCTGGATGTGATCCACAAGACCCGTGGAGTCCATTCGCGATGCCACATTGACGGCGTTCCCCCAAATGTCATATTGAGGCTTGCAGGCTCCAATAACGCCAGCCACCACAGGACCAATGTTAATCCCTGCAACGAAAATAAGGCTTGAGCATGTCTTTTAAGCTATATCAAAAATGTATCTAAGTATCTAAAGACATTGTCTCGTTTTTCCCTTTAAAGCTAATGGAAAAGTCAAAGTTGCTCACCTATTCGCATCCGAAAGTTGTTGAAGGAGTGCATGTTGACCTCCTCGATCTTGTCGAACAGCTGGAGGGCATAGTCGGCCATGGCGGTCACGTGGCTGAAGTTCACCCGGTCGCAGGTGTTCGCCGTCAATCCGGATGCCGCCATGTAAGTGGCGCCCGTGCTCTTGATTTTCTCGATGCAGCTGCCAAAGGAAAGAGGGAGAGAGATGTTAACCGGAAATGGACCAGCCCGCAAAGTGGTTAAAACAGTTTAGACCAGGAAAGCGGATGGAGGACTCACCGGAAGCGCTCCTCACTGAGCAGCTCGTCGAAGTCGGCGATAATCTCGTTGAGCAGTCGCAGGCACTCGACGCCCTCGTTATTGCCCTCCAGCTCCACGTAGAACTCGGAGAAGTTGGGAATGCTGGCGAACAAAATGCACACCGAGTCGCATTGCTCGTGGTAGAGGTCCTGCAACAAAGCCAATCAAAAATTCAATTAGATTCTGGCTAGAGAGTTCCTTGCATCTGTTTATGGCTGTGCACTGAGGCGGAAGCTTTGGCAGGAAGTACAAGGTTGAAAAAATCAGAGAATGTTCTAAAAATAGGAAAAACGAAAAGATTTCGTTAAAATTACCTAATATACGTCTTAAATTTCAACCTTCTTGAGACTTAAGAACTTTTAAGTTATATTTTAAATATTTTTAAATCAAGATTTTACTTTACCAAAGGTTGCCCTACGTTCGGATGAATCTTTAAAGTTTCTCTACACTTTACTTATATTTTTAAACTAAAGTACAACTATATGGAACACCTTTAAAATCTAACTTTTTTCAAATATTTCATCTTCAAATCCACTTAAGTGTTCAAGCATTTCCTAGAACTACTCCTAAAGTAATCCAATAAAATGGAATCTAAAATCAAAGTCCAACATTTGTTCAGTGTGACTCTGTTTGCACGGCTCAAGTTGAGCTCATTGGCTTTTGTCCCGCTGCCAAAGCTGCCAAAGTGGGTGCTCGTTGGCCATCAAATGCGGCTGCTAAGCTTGTTGAATTTGCATTTAATGTGGGAGGCTGCCACGCAGCCACGTTGCATCGCCTCCGAAAACTGGATGAAAACGCCCTGATTTTCCACCTTGCGGCAAGTGCAGTGAAATGTTTTCAGGCCACATACACGTGGTCACATCACAGTTTCCCCACCCCTTGCCAAAAGCTTCTCCCTTTCCCGCCAACTACTAGGTCCTTTGGCCAATCTGGATTCTGCACCACCAAGCACCTTCCTCCTCCTGCTCTCCACAGATTTCATAGCCACAAAGTTTTTTAATATGTTGAACGGCTGCCTGCATGGCTCATGAATATATGGCCACTATTTGGCCGAAACCGGTGCATGCAGCAGAACTCAGCATAATGGCTATGTAAATTTGTTAATTCTTAATTAAATATTTAAGTTATATTTGAAGGTGTTACTCTATACAAATATTGGCCTAGATGGTCAATATAACATATTTAGCCAATACGAATTACAAAAGTTAAACATTTTAAAAAAAGAAAAATGGAAATTAATTGGTGGAAGTGATGTGGATGCTTGGCTTACTTTACAATGATGTTTCAAATATCTTTTTAAACACTTGAGATCTCTCTTACTATGAAAATTTAATTTATTTTTTCTTAGTGTAATTCTATACTCACGTCAAGGTGCTTTTCGCGGCTGAGAAAATGCTCGGCAACGTGAACGGGCAGAATGTTTTCGAGCAGTTTACGGTTATAAGCCTGCAGGTGCTCCATATCCTCCTTTTCCTCTGCGAAATAAACACAAAAAAAAACATCACCGGAAACCCGGAAAGAGGGCACACAAAGAAGAAACATAAGCGTGAAATTGAAATATCAGTTTATCAGTTTACCGAAGCGGAAAGTAAAAGCGCACAAACAGAAAGCACAAAACTCAAAACACATTGCCATTTTCCCGAAAAAACAGGGAAAAGCTGGTGAAAATGCTTTCTAGAGTGTGTGTGAGTGTGTGTGTGTGGGTGGAAGTGCAATTGTGCACTAATACTAATGAAGTGGCTTATGCGCTGAAAGTTTTCCCAATCCCTCGGTCGCTTTTCCTCCGAGCGAATCATTTCAAATCACTGACAGTGTGTCAAACGGAAAGAGAGACGTCATGAATGAAGGAAAATGGCTTACAACTTTGCAAACTCTCGAATTTTAATCAGCACAATGTATTAAGGGGTTTCTGTTAGCCTGAACAAGAAATTTCCCAACTACGTTGGAAAATTTAATGGAATTGGTAAGACTATGCGTATACTTGATATTTAAGGTTGGAAAACCTTGAGGTCAGGGTTTCTCATATTTGTTCATGCTGTTAATAAGGCCATTTAAAAATAACAAAAATAAGCCAAAACAATTTAACCCATTTTAAAACTATTCCCTTTGCCTGTCTAACTTAATTTTTCCAAGTTCAAAACTTTGACTTTCCCTGGCACTCGCACCCTTTGTCTACTTAATTTCCTTTGTGGACTTTCCACTTCAGAGGTAATTAAACTTGTCTCACCCGTTGCCTGCAGTTTCCAGATGAAGTCCAGGCGGTAAGTGGCCTCCGTCTGATGGCTGTGGAAGATCAGGGCCAGCATAAATGCGAAAAGGAAGATGGAATCAATTATGTAGCGCAGCAAGGCCTCCTCATTCCTATATCCATTAGCAGTCCGTTGGTTGCCATTGGAGAAAGAAGGTGCAGTCGTCCCGAAATGGCGACAATGGCCAAGTTATTCCGGTCCATTAAAGGGTAATACGGCGGCAAGGACACGTGGCAGGAGCAGAAACGAACAAGAGATGTTACTGCGGCAGTTGATAAATGAATCCAGCTGGATTCAGAGAGTTGGTGCTAAATACAATTTTAATGCAGTTTGCGGCTGCCGTAAATGCATTTCAGCTGGTGCTGGCTGACTCGGCGAAAGAGCCCCCAGCCACCTCACCCCTTAACCCACTGAACCCAACTGAAATTGCATTACGCCATAATTCGTTTTCATTCAGAGATAGCGCAGCTGCCGCTCTGAATGCGGAATGTTGGATGTTGCCTGTTGGTTGTTGGATGTTGTACTTACGCCAGCTCTTGGCTTATTTCCCTGCTGCGCGAGTACAAGTAGGTGGAGCAGGCCATGTAGCTGCCGGAGGCCAAAAGGAGCAGCAGCAGCTTCAGCAGAATCCTCAGCACTTGGTAGGTGGCACAGCTCATCATCGAGAGCAGTGTGAGCAGCAGGAACGTCTGTGGGTGGCGGGGAAACAAATCAAGGAATTATATATTCAAGGCCCGCCCCACTCAGCAAATAAACAGAGAACAATTGCGGATCTAGTTTTCCATGAGGGTAATCTAAGCTACATTTGTAGTTGACTTCCAGCTACTTTTCCCTTGCAGACTTGGAAACTTTTTGACGCTAGTTGGTAAATAATAAATGTCTTATTTTCTTTGGGTCTTAATTTAATAGTTCTTGTTTTCTGTTAATATCTCTCTCAGATCAATAAACCAATAATTTAAACTATATTCCATACTTTCCATACTTTTCCCTCAGCACTCACTCACATTATAGGCCATATAGAAATCACACTCAGGATCCTGGACGCCGAATATTTCTGGCGTAAACTCCGTGGCATTGAGACTAACAGTCCCATTTACATCCATCCAGAAGCGCTTCCTCTGGAGCAACTCCAACTGGCGGCCAGATTCCTGGAACTATAGAGAGAATGGCTAATTAGCTGTCCGGCCATGAAATTCGCATTAGACAAGTTTAACGATCTGCGGGCAGATTTTAACGAGCATCCAACAGGTCCTGCCTGTTCCTGTGAGATTGGCCATTAAGCCGTGGCCCAAAATGAATACGAATGCCTCTTAAAGTGCCATTAAATGCGGCCCGAAACAAACACAAAAGTGACAACGAAATGTCAAAGAACCCATGGCCCGAGACTTGGTGCAGACAAAAGCCATGGGGCAGGTAACAAGTTGCCCATAAAGCCACCTCTCACTTCATCATATGAGCCGGGGATCCGACGTTCACATTGCCCCTCGCTGTCGTGCCACACAGTTCTTGGCCAATGCCGAACTTTAATGGAAAAACTTTTGTTTTGACGCGCCCCAAACGAAACAACGACGGGGCAACGCAACAAGCGCGCCCCCGATTTTGTTTGGACTACAAAACGTAAATTTTATTTTTATTTCTTGTATTCCCTTTTAAGAGGTGGCCACCCCCGTGTTTTAGCCTGGAATTTCTAGTCGCAAACTTTTCCCTCAGCTCACACAAATGCACAGCAAATGAAGGCTAAAAACAGGGCGGTAAAACTTGACTTGGCCGAGTTTGGGATGCCCTAAACATGGGGAAAATTCCCCTCAAGGCAGTTAGGATTCATTTTTTATTTTGCTACATAAACGCTGGAGATGGAAATCATCTAGCGCAGCTCCTGTCCATGGAAGCGTTGTGTTTGGAAAATTCTGTTGTTGCGCATACGCAGCGTATGCCGCATTAAAGTCAACGAAATAACATGTGTGTGTGGGAGCGGAAATAACTTTTTCGACATAAATAAAAAGCGGAAAATGTATTTGACAAATATTTTTGCATTTGATAACACCGACGCGAGATGCAAAACAAATTGTGATTTATATTTAAATTGTTTTTGTATAAATTAAAGTAAATATTGATAGGAAGGCAGGATAGTGGAATGATAAGCAAAAACATGCATTTTAAACTCTTATTTGTTTTAATTAATTTCATAAAAAGAACATATAAAAACATGTTTTTTAAGGTAGGAAATTTAAAGCAGGGAATGTAAAATGCAAATGTCTCTAAAAAGTCACTGAGTTCCTATTAAATATTTAAATAAACTGTAATAAATGGCCATTCATTCTGTGTTTAAGGCCACTTAAAAGTAACTCGGAATTAAATTAAAATTCCGCCACGTTCAAACATCCTTGCCAAGTTCTTTTTGGCCTTTACTCAATTATTTATGGCATATTATAGGGCCGGACAATTAATACGGACAACGAATATTCCGTCGATTAAAATATATATATATACTATATAGTCGAACACTCACCATGGCCAGCAGAGTGGTGAGGACAATCAGGGCCACACTGGCGAAGGCGAAAAACTGCGATATCCTGCGATTGCTATGAATGCGCAATGAGAAGCGTTTGATGTCCGATGGCAGCTAAAAAGTTTGGCATTCCGCCGAATAAAAAATGCAGAATGTCAACATCACCCACCACACTCTCTTTGTGTGCTCACCTGAAAGTTGATTTTATGACATGCCACCAGAAATACCAGAAGCCCGAGCAGCAGCACAGCGCCAGTGGACAAGGCCAACGTCAGCAGGGAGCTGGAATGGACAGAAGAGGCGGGGTAGCTGGTTGCCAATTTAAGTGGGTAGCAACTTTTTTGGCAACACGTATACGCAGTGGTGGATGCAAAAGAGTTCTGGGACGCCAGCGGGCATAAAAGCGCTTCGCCTGGACGCCTTCCCAAAAAAACATCAGCTCATCCATTCCCTGTCCCAATCCCCGACAACTCACCTCTGGAACACCACCAGCCGCATTATGCTGGTCCCGAGCAAAACCAACAGACTGCAGTAGAAGTAAACACACAACATGCGATCCGGTTCGCTGGCGTACTGAAAAGCAGAGTGGTAAAATGGTAAAAGCACGGCTTAGATATACATTATGTAGGAATATTTGTTTACTTGCTAAAGGGAACAATAGCCGAGGAATAAGTATTCGGTTCCTGCTTTTCGTTTTTTTGATAGTGAAACATAAGCCAAGGATGGTAAATAAGTTTCTGTGTTTAGGGCAAGCATAAAGAAACTTTAAAGGCATTCTAAATCGCCTTTAAAATGAAATGGAAACCACAAAACTATTAAAGAGGAATTAGTATACTGATTTAAACCTTATAATTAAATCTATAAGTCAAAGAAGCAGCTAAATAAGGACTAAAATCTCCATATTTAAGCTTAAACTTAAGTGAGAAGATAAAAGTAATTTATTTTTCCTTCTTTTGAACTACTTTTACATTGTAAAACTTGTTAAAATGCTTACAATTCTATTTTAAAAGAGTTAACTAAAAGAAATAAGGAGTCAATTACCTTTCTTTCCAGCACTTTATCTTTGAAGCAGAGCAGCAGAGACTGACAGTGTTCGGCCCTCAAGTGATCAATACTCCGGGCATCAATGGCACGCATCAGATACTCGTTGACCTCATCCTCGGGATCCTTGGCACTTTCCGAACTGTCGCCAAAGCCAAATCTGTAGTTCAATAAACGGAAATTATATAGTATAAATATATTATTTATTTAATTTAAAACAAACTTGGAAGTGTGCTTTTGTGCTGTTCCATGGCCCATCATGCGAAGTTCCTTGGAAATATTTCCGTTGACTTGCAGGCGATTCCTGGACTTTTTGTGCTGAAATTAAGTTTCATGACTTAGGGTGTTTCATTAATTAAATAAAAAAAGATAACCTTACTGGCCTGTATATATCCCCTGGAACAATTAGGTACGTCTCTATCTGATGATCCTTGAGATACGAGTTGCGTTCGTTTCCCTTGCCGACCTCCACTTCGTAATCGCCGTCCAGACACTTCAAAGTCTCCTTGGTGATGTGAACGCGTCTGGGAATGTCGCACAAACAGAGTAGAGGACACATTCTAATGATTATCTCTATCAGCTTAGGGTTATATGTTCGCCTTGTTTTCCTCTTTTATGGGTGGACAGAAAACGCAGTTAACCCCAGGAAACACTCACATTACATGCCACACAAGCTGCCGCAGCAGCAACAAACAACCCATTTTAAACCGCCTGCAGTTTCCCCCTTTCCGCCTGATGCCCACCCAAGTTGGCTAAATAGTTTTTAATGCTGTTCTGGGGCTGCAGCGAAGAGAAGCGTGGCAAAGCCGCAACAGATGCTCCTGGCTTCTTGGAATCCTTTGGCTGCCAAGTAACTGATTATTGATAATTACACGACGCTTTGTTATGGATTGCTGTAGTCCACATTCCCCGAGGCAACTTCCTACTGCTGCTAACGAACTTTTTACATGCCACGCTCGCTCAACTCTCGGCTGAAAATTGCAGCTTATCAGGCAGAGCCGATGGCTTCGACTTTGGCCAACACCCACACCCACACCCACTGCAGCCGCCCACTGCAGCTATTTGCTTTTAATTTCACCCGGGACAGGGCTAACAAACGAGCTGCCGTCACCCAGCTGACCCAAATAAACTCAACAGTTACTTAAACTTCCACCCGAAGTCGCAGCGTGAATATTCACGAAATAAAAAACAAACTGAAGGAAAGTGAAGAAGGAAGGAGCGCTCGTAACGGGTGAAATAGTACTTTGGGTACTTCGACCCCTTGTTATCTATTATTTTGGGACATTCCAACGGGTTCCTAAGAAGGTTAAAGTGGGTGAAAGAGCACGTCTTAAATATGGTGAAAGTAACTTCTTAGGACCGGAAATCTGGCCATTTACTTTTGTGGATTTCAGGGAAGAAAATGTACTCGAACTTATTATTTTATGATCTTTTCCATATTTTTAAGGTTTTCTTTAAGAGTATTGGTAATTTTTGGTAAAAATCCGGTTATTAACTGTCTAAGTTAACTAAAAAGTATATTATTTTTAATAAAGAAAGGTTTCCTTTAGATACAGTACGGTGGCCTTCAGAAAACTATGACTTTTTGAGTTCCCAAAAGAATAATGAAAGTTAAAACTGTGCTACATATATCTGCGGGATATGTAATCCTATAATAAGATATACTTCCTAACTATCTAAACTAACCCATGTCAGGCCTAATATACCCTTGGCAACCGGAACTTTGATGTCAGGGTATCGGAGCAGAAACAAATTGCTCAAGTGTTGAAGTGAGTGCAGCTGAATCAACAGCAACAAAATATTGTTGTGGGGCACTTATCAGTGGTGGGCGGAATGGGTGAATGGGTGGATGGGTGCCATGGGCGTGGCATGCAACTTGTGGGCCATAATCGATTGGGCGGGGTGGGCTATTTGAGGAGTGAAGGCTGAATGAAGCTACCAAAGGGGTTCGGCAAGCACTCGTAAGTTACCAATAACTTGACGCCTTCAGTTGGCCACAAGACGCATGCAAAATGCTGTGTTGTGTGTATGGCAATTACAACGATTAAGCCCCACAATGGAGAGGCACACCCTCGAGCTGCGAAGGACGAAGGACAACCGCAGGACGACGACACTTTTGGACTTTCAAGTGCCTTTATGGGATGTACTTCGCACAGCTCAGCTTCTGGGCCGCCACAACAAGTTGGCTTTAATTGTTCGTCGCTGCTTTTATTGGCCAGAGTTTTTGGGGCACGGACGGAGGATATTCCACCAACCATTATTCACAGCTGTCGCCAGAAGTGGCTCAAACTGACCGAAACGGGATTTTCAATGGATTGAATTGGATTTCCCAGCAGCAGAATGAAATTGAATTTACCAAGGGAATGGCAGCCAAAATGAATCGAAGCGAAGCGAATTTCCCCAACCCAATCCAGAATATCCACAAACCCAAGACAATGGATATTATTAAAGTGTCAACCGATGACAGCAAAAGAAGACGTTGGATCAATTAATTTCAGCTGGAAGATTAGAGGTACACTCACCCGGGTATCCCGCCACTCTCCATGTGGTTGGCCAACGTGACGTCGTTGGACCAAACGTCGAACTGCCACTTGACCAGGCCCAGAACGCCGCAGTGCACCCGGCCCGTATGGATGCCCACTCGCATGTTCACATTCACGGCCATAACCTCGCGGACCAGGCTGCAAAACAAGAAGGGAGCAGGAAACAAAGAAGCATTGTATTGGGTGCACTTTCAAAAAATGTTTATCATTTGGCTTTCTTTTCATATGGAAGAAGGTCTTATCTGCAGCTTACTATTGTTACTTTTTGTCATTTTAAAATCACGTTTAACTTTATAAGCACATGTAGTTATGAGCAAATATTTAATAGCAGTACTAAATCAGTAAAATACATATTTAATATTCATATACATTATAGCATCGCATCAGGGTTTTCCCCTGTGCAGCAGCCACAACAAAGCCGCAAAACAGGAGCTTTTCTTTGTGTTTCTGTTTGCCGATATGGATACTCACGCGATGGCGTCAATCATATCGAGTCCCATTTCAACGGCACAATGGGCGTGATCCGGACGGGGTTCTGGCAGCCCGGAGACGCAGTAGTAACAATCGCCCAGCAGCTTAATGCGTAGACAATGATGCTCCGCAGCCAATCGATCAAAGCTGCAATGGGAAAGTGGAAAATGCGGAATCGAAGAAGTTGAAAAATGGACAGGAAAGTCTGGACTACAATATGCGACAGCCTTCATCTCTCTTCTCGGTTTCATTTTATACCAAAGTAAGCATCAAATAAAGGAAAAGGTCTTAAAAGGGTAACATTTTCCATTAATAGAAAGACCCAATTAAAATTTCCTAAATTTCTATCTTTCTTTCATGGTATCAATAGCTCCAAATTAATTAAAGGATACTTCTGTTAGATACCCTTCCGCTTAAAGGTCAAAACATTGATCAATTTCTGATACTTTTACCACCGAAATCAGCCAAAAATATTCTTGTAAATTAATATTTTCTAAAAGGGTCAAGGAGATTACCAAAAAGCATACGAAACCCCTTTCCAAATTCTTAAATTTTATCTCATCTTCAGCCATAAAAGCAACTTGCTACTAGTGCCTAAGCTCGTTCACAAAGAGGTCAGCAGCATTATTTGTTTGCCCCGAGGTCAGATTTCCTTCGCTCACTTGTAGCAATTAATACAGCCACAGGCTCTGTCTGGGTTTCAATTTCATGAATAAGACAAGGACCCAGACAGATGGACGTACACTGTGAAAAATTTTAGATTTAAGGCAGCTTATACTGGACAAAAACTTGCTAAAATTATATTGCTTTCAGGTGGTTATTTCAAATTTGTTATCTGTTTAAATAAATGTTTTATTTCATAGAAATATTTTCAAAATTGAATCTTCTTTTTGTCAATTATTTTAGAAATACTTGAAGTTAAGGTTCAGAAATATAGAAATTCGATAAAAAAAACTAACTACTTTTTCCTCATCTTTTCTCAAGTGAATGAGTGAACATGAATTGTTTGCCATTAATTATGGCAACAACCTCTGGCACATCCGACTAGTTCAGATGGCACAACCAATACCCATCCGAATACTCACCGGGCAAAGAGCTCGTTCAGCAGACGCACCAATTCCTCGGCGGTGCACTGATCCGAGAGGCTGGTGAAACCACAAATGTCCGCAAAAAGAATGCTGGAAAAGAGGAAAATGGGAATGTGAAATGAAGGTGGAACTCAGGCCAGGCAAAAGCTATACAGTAAGAAAAATGACTAGAAATATTAGTGTGTTTCTGGAAATATGATAAAATCTGGTTACTGGATTTAAAAATATTATTTTTAGGTGGAAAAGCATTTCGGAAATGTGGTTGATTTTAGTTTAGACCTTAAATTGCTGAGGTAAATAAATTTTAAACCATAATAAAAATAAATTTATTTTCTTAAAGAAAAATGCACAAATGTAATATTCCTTAAAGCAACTTCAGCATTTTCCTCTATCACTTACTTTTCCCTTTAAAACTCATTTTGCTTCCGCTTTCTGAAATATTATTTCCCCTTTATTTTAAGCTGAATTATGTGTCGGTTATTTAGTCTCGTAAATCTAACGATGTTAAATCCTTTTCACGTTGCTTCTGGCCTATACAACATGGCCATGTGTTGACAGAGCCACGTTAGCACAGCCACTTGTTTCTCTTTGCTGATTTTACGACTCGTAACTGAGAAGGGCTTAGTCGGCTCAGCGCGTAATTTAATACAAAATGGCTGAGGTAAAAAGTTCGGCAGGGTAAACATAAAGCAAAAGTAACAAGGGAAAATGGATGGCTAAAGTTGAAATAGAAAATACCCTTATATAATTTTAAAAATATTTTCTAAATTTATGAATCTACCTGAAATGTTTTAAATTCTAAGAACGTTCACGTTATTCGAGCTTACGTAAAAAGAGCCAATCAAAATATACTTTAAGGCTTATATAACTAAATGAGGGAATTATTTTCATTGAACTTACATTGCTAGTTATTTTTCGCTAGAAATTTGTCTAAAAGAATAAAATTTCCATTGAATTTCCATTCGGAATGCCAAAAGACCGACACGTTCCGGGTATCTTTACTTCACCAGCTGTTTTCCACATTTTCCCCTTGACAACTTTGAACAGAAATCCCAGCAACTCGTTTTAAAAGGAAGCGAACAGCGACAGAGGACATTTTTGGCTCAAACAGGTGCGCCTCAAAGTATGCTATATCATTCTTGGTTGACTGCTGGCCTGCTGGAGTGTGAGTGTGTGTCTTGCTTTGTGCTGCTGTCTGTGTTTGTGTGAGTGATTTTATATCTGTGTGCCTGTAGCTGTGCATTTGGCTCAGCTCCTTTTTGGCTTTGCATACAAATTCATTGCTCGCGTTACACGCTCAGACATTCAGACATTCGGGGACTCTCAGCCAAACAATTTATTGACTTTGCATGCAAATAAATTCCCCCACCCGAAGGGTCCACTCACCTGACATTCTCGTGCCGCTGGATGTATATCTTATGGAACTGTGTGTCACGTGGCTGGCCCGCAATGTCGTCCTTCATCTCCATGGCCACATGACGCGGCAGCACCGACAGCAACAAGCGTTCCTGCAACGAATGGATCCCACTTAATACCCACACATCCATTACAGCAGACCCGAATCCGATTTAAAAGTAAATCAGTTTCAGGATCAGCCTGCATAAATTAACTTTACGATTTCGTATTCTTTAAGATGAAGTCTTGCAGTTCTGCAATAACAATTTGTTTACTTTGACGTTTACTTACTCAAAAACAACATGAATAAATTAACTTTTGGCTTTAAAATAAGTTTATAAAAATGTCTTATGAATCGAAATTACGAATTAAACATATATTTTATTTCTATTTTAAGAAGACTTCATCAAAAGGTGTCGTAACATTGTGAGAATTCTCCACGTGGAGCACCACTTGCTCGTTATACCCAAGATAAAAGACCACCGAAGTCTAAAGGAGGAGTAGGTTATTTCAAAATAAGGAAAAAGATGAATCAGTACCCCGCTGGTACTCAGTCAACATTCCGTTTGATGCAAACAATTTGTGCGAAATTTGCCTGGAGTTCATTTGTTTTCCTTTCACTTTTGGCCTTTTCATGTTCTACTCTCACATGCCAATAAAACACCTGCAGATTTTTCATTGTCTGAAGATCTTTAAAGGTTTCGCCAGTTAACCAGGTTTTTATAGTGGGAAGAATCGAATTCTCCTTCAGAGCTTTTAGTACTTCTATAAATATCAATCAAATTTTGTTGTATTGAATAAACAACAACCTTTAGTTTGAAAAACCTTTTGAAAAGAAGTATTTTTCCAGCCCTTTCACTTCATCAAGATGCTTTTAGTCTCATTGCAATCAGTTACCTCATCTTGCTTAGTTTTTTTACTTTAACTAAGTTATTTTCCACCTCTTGACCACCACTCACCTGTTGTTGATTTTCGCGCTGTGTCCTTAGCCTGGCCTCGATGCACTGCCTCGTCTCGATGAAAGCCTTCCTCTGGGCCTTTTCCTTGGGCCAGTGGGTGTAGACCCCGGTGAGGTTGGCCAGGAGGAGGGCCACCAAAGTGCAGAGCAGCTGCGGGCGGAGATTGAGGCATTAATGACATTACGAGCCATAAATACAAGGAAAACAACGCTTAGGAGGCGCACTGGCAGGAGCACCCTCCACATTCTCGATATCATTCAATTTGGCGGCAATTTAATTTCATTTCATTTATGTCTACTCCCAGGCCCTTGGACACGTGCCACTCTCAGCTGTTGTTTTCCTCCCTGATTTTCCCCCATTTTCCTGTGCTGCCAAAGGAGGCAATTAAAGCTAGATGTCCGCCCACCCTGCTCTTTTATTACGCAGTATTTCCATTTTATTATTCGCTAAATCAATTTGCATTTCGCGGTCTGGTGAAAGTGCCAAAACCTGTTGATACATTAGATGGCTCTATGCTTCATTGGAAATGTAAACAAAAACAGCCCAGAAAGTTATACGACACCGCAAAACAAAGTTTTCTTGCTAACTGAAATCTAATAATCCGAATGAGTTTGCGAAGTAAAGCTATAGATGATATCTAATCTAAGCTTTCAAATTTGTTATTCTTTCGAAGCTAGCTTATTATTATAAAATGTAACCAATTTCCTAGAATATTTTATTACATCTACCCGAAGTGGCAGTTAAATGAGTTAACATTCAAGAACATACGAGCCGCAGTAATTTACCAAATCGAAGACCGCAGGTGTACGAGTATCATGTGTCTCCCCGCACTCACCTCCTCCCAGTGCAGCATCTCGACTGCCTCATCCTGCATGGCGGTGAACCTCAGGCAGGTATACAGATGGACGACACTCAAGAGGATGCCACCGATCAGGGCCTCCCGCAGGCGAAGGGGCAGCATCGTGTAGGTCATGTAGATGAGGACGATGCAGCAGGCGCTGCCGTTGAAGGATTTGCTGCCGGAGGAAATCGGACACGAGAAGAGCGATTAGGACATTGGAGCACAGATGCGGTTGTTTGCTCAGCATGATTCCAAGTTCTCGCAATTAGCGAGCCGTGAATGATTAATTTTCGCCGAGCTAAGCAACAGCTGCTATGCACTGGTAAAAATTGCCGGCCCTTACGAATATTTTCATAATAATATGGAAGGCTTTTCACTTTCTTTTCTTTTCTTTTTACACTTTCTATAAGGAACCTTATAGCCTTAAAACTAACTATCAAGGCTTCAATCAATTAATAATGCAAATATATTGTATTTTCCCCAGTGCAGTCGATTAAGGGGAAGATGAATACCAACCTGGGTTGCATGGCATAGCTGACGGCCACTTCGATGGCGAGGAAGGTGCCCAAAATGACGTAGGACACGAGGACCAAGAAGATCTCGTTCATGGCCGGCTTGGAGAGAATGCACAGGAGGACTGTAAGCAAATACAAAGGGATTACGAAATGAAGGCAGGAGTCATCCAGTGGAGGAGATGACCAACTCACAGGCATAGACTATTCCGCAGATTAGCATGACAATGAGGAAGACCAGGACGGACTCATCAACCTGCATCAGGATCACGGACATGAGTTGGCCATAGCCCAGAGGGAGTGAGTCGAAATTATCGGTTGCAGGCCCTGCGTTTGACGATGTATTTAACACTTCATCACGTTCCGCTTGTGAAATTTGATTGTTGTCGCGGACACGCGGCGTATACGTAATGCGTTTACTGCCAACTCTACGCCCTTCATCAGCGTCATCATCACGGGCAACTGTGTACACACCATCATCATCATTCTCGTTGGGGGCAGAGTCAACAATCAGTTGGGATTGGTATTGGGATGGGTTGTCTGCCCCCTTAACCAACCCAATATCCTGCAGACTCCGCTTCTCCCTTATCCTGTATCTGCAATAAAGTCCCAAATTTCATTTCACTCGCATCTCAATTGATGAAAATGTCTGTTTTGTGTTTGGCCAACTATCCGTCTTGCCGGCATTTATGGCCAGCATAAATATTTGTGGCAAAATAAATCTAAATGTTAATGGAAATGGCAGGGAAACTGAAGGCGAGGAGTCAGTTATCGAGAACTCGCACGAGCTTTTGATTAAAACAATGTCTTGTGGTTTTTTGCTAGTGATATTTCTTCTATCGACTGGTGTCTTATTTGTTTCCATGAATTTGTTGACAAATATTTGGATGAAAATAAATTGAAATAGTTGGTCAGGAAAAGAAACACAGAATGCCAATTTATGTTATTTTTTGAAAACTTATTAAGGAATGAAATTCACTTTTTCACTTTTTCACCATTTTCTTTAAGCAATTCGAGTTATGAGTCTCTTTTAAATAAATTTGATTAGTTTAAGGTTTCTACTTTAGTCATAATAAAATGATTCTGGAATATGTCGATTTCCTAAAGTTAGAATTAAAGGCGCCTTTGGTATTGAATTTATCCCGAGAAGGACATCAATTAAATTTACTTAAATTCCTTGTAGCTATATAAAGTCAAAAATCCCACTTGGGATTCTGTTTTTAAATCAAAATTTTAACTTTAATTAAATTAGATTTTCTTTTCAAAGACCCATTCAAATGATTTACCTCAAAATGTGTCTTTAAATTCAATTTAAGCTGAATTTCTCGCACTTGATTAAAGCCTTGTCATGGATTCCCTTCGATCAATTGTGGCCTTTGCCAGGGCTAAAATTACTTTCCTTGAAGCTTAACTTGTTCCAGCCCATTCAGCCTGCTTTAAATTCAATTTGAGCCTACTTTGGACCTACTTTTATGGGCTCAGCTCTTTTCGGGCGGCCTAAAGTTGTTTGATTGAATTTCAGGGGAGCTCTCTGACCAAAAACCTCAAATGCGAGCTGTGCAAAATATGAATCGCCTTTCGGGAAAAACACATTGTCGACCAGGATGACCTGTCAGAAGTTGCCTCTTCTTTTTCATCTACATTACAACGTTACACTTTTTGTGTAGTGATTGCAGAATGGCTATTTTATAGCCAAAACTATTTATGAAAATAATATTAAGAAAAACTATAACGATACTAAATTTTATTTTTGAAGTATAAATTTAATAAGTTTTATAAAAATATTTTTACTGAATGGTTTTTCTTTGAAATAAAACTCAAGTTGTGTTCTTGTAACATTCAATTACTTTTAGCTGTTTTTAGCTAATATTAGCTGCGTTCAGCTACTTTTAGCTGCTTTCAGCTACTATAAGCAACTTTTAGTTACTTTTAGCTACATTTAGCTACTTTTAGTTACTTTTAGCCACTTTAAGCTACTTTTAGCTGCTTTCAGCTACTTTTAACTACTTTTAGCTACTGTTAGCCACATTCAGCTACATTCTACCATAAATAGTTGGCATCCCAGCTCACCTGGTGCGATGTTGTTGGTGTGACTTGTGCTTGTACCGATGCTTGTGGAGGCGTCGATAATGTTTGCGCTTCTGCCGGCGCCACTGCCTGCCTGGCTGCCCATAATCGTCCGCTTCGAAATCGGCGAGGTCGCGGTTATAGGAGGATTTCAAATCAGAGCCACCCAACTCACTGGCCACCCAACTGGCATTGGAACTGAGGCCCAGGTCGAGTATAGGAACGAAGCTCCTGCCTTGGGCAATTTGACCCGTTGATGCCGGTGGCTTCATTGTGGTGGTCGTCAAGTTGCCAAAGGTCGCATTTGCCTCCAGTCCGATTTCGCTGATTTCCAACAATAGGGTGGCATGGCGTCGCAGCTGCATCGTGGTAAAGACCAAATGCGTGCAGGACAGGGCCAAAATCAATGCTAACAGCAGAGCCAAAATGTGCGTCGTATTGCTCTGGTTCATACGCAGAAAGTAACGCTGATATAGCATTTCCACCTGATTAGAAACGAGAAATCAAAGCACTCAGCGAATAAGATTTTAAGGATATGCTTTGCATTAAAAAATATCATTAAAATCAACCAAAGGTGGATTAATTAGTTGTTAAAGAAAGATTTACAATTTTTAAAAAAGATATTGAAATGTAAAAAAACAAGGTCAACATTTGTAGATTAAAGAGCAATTTTCGGAAATTTATTTTGCCAAGTGCCTGCTGAAAAAGTTGAGCAAACTAAGTAGCAAAGCGGACGAAAAAGTTTGAAAGAACGATGGTGGTCGAGGAGGAGGAGGACGAGCAGGATAAGTTGGAACTTGTTGGGCAAAGGATTTCACGCTAAGCTTGGAGAATAAGTAGCTTACCTGGAGATTCTTGAACTGGTGCGTGGAGCAGAGGCGCAGGATGATGCGGTTCAAACGGAACCAGAAGGAAATGCTGGGGCTCACAGGAGCATTGCCAGTTCCGGATCCTCCGCCGCCCGGAATCGGATTGTTGGCCTCCACATTGCCGGCATCGCCTGAAAGCAGATTCAGATTGAGGCAGAGGTCTACTTGCCAGGCCTATAAGTACGCCCCCAAGCACAAATGGCAAATTAATTAATACCTCCAGCCAGAAAGTTAACCAAACTTGAGCACTAACTGATTTTCAGCTGCAATTAGCCGCACAGAACGACTGCAAATTGCAAGCCGAATTTGCAAGTTCAATTACAGCTGTTGCATTTTCACATTTGAGTAACCTCACAGATGGGGGCAAAGCTTGTTCATCGATTGGAATTATGGAAATGGCAGTTATAAATCTCTGACACAGCATGAAATTGGAAAGTTTTCGTATTCATTGGGGAGTTTTGATTGTAAATAGTCAGTGGCATGTGTGAATGGGCAGGTAATGCCATATTATTGTTCAATGAATTTGTTTCGTTTGTAAAAGCTAGCTAAAGCTATCGATGACATATTACTTTGAAATTAACATATTATAGGAAAGCTAAACATATATGTTAGATGTAGCCAAAATGTCAGTTCAATAAAAAGCAATTTGTGTGTAATTTGTGAAATTATTTATGCAAAAACAGTTTTATTTTGATCGCTGTAAAAACAGGGATTTTATTTGTTTAAATGCCTAATTAAAAACATGAATGTATTAAGCCTGCTAAGCTGGGACTATTAGTTTTAAATGCAGATAAATAGCTGTGATTTATGACTTTCATACAAGTGAAATGAAATGAAAAATGTTTACTTTGCCACCTATTTTCAGTCACTTTAAATTGTTTCTCTATCAAAAGCTGGTTTATTCTTTTAATAACCGAAATGGAAAGTCTATTATTTCGTCTGTAACCCAACCTATTTGATAGCTTCTACACTACTCAAAGTTTTCTTTTAACCTGATGAGCACATCGTGTCTATGTTTTTGGACCAAAAGAACCTAACGAAGACAGAGAAGACACCTCCCCTAACCCACAGAAACATATTCCTTGGGCCATTGTGACAATTCGAGTACAATTCATTCGCTTAACGTGTTATACACATTTTCGATTGCCAGCCATTGTGTGGGGAACATCATCGTCAATGATTCTGACATTTCTCTCTATGAGAATGGAAGCCTTGATTTCAAATGCAGCACACAAAGCCATAAAATATTTTATTGTAAAATGGAGAACGTCAGCCAAATCGGCATATTAAAATCATTCAACTGTCCCGTGTCCTGACCACAATGCTACGAAAAAAAGGAGAAAAACCACAAACGTGGAGTGGATGGGGGATGTGGAATGGATCTCGGAGTATGTTTTTATATGCATCAATAAATAAATGCCAAACGTGATTATGTAAATTTCCATAGAAATCTACGCAGCTAGCTCTATACAGATGTCTATCGAAGCCAAGGAAAACCAAAGGCTGGCTTGGTTTTCTTTCACAGGAAACACAAACTAAAATAAATCTGCGGGGGTGATGGTGGTTATGGGGAAGCTGGGCATCTGCGGCAACCTTGAAGGGGGAGGAAAAGGCGATATGTGAGTGAAATGCCAATGACGGGGAAACGTGAGTCGAGAAACGAGAAAAAAAGAGAAGGAGACGAGACTGCGAAATAGCCTCGTCAAATTCAATATGACAATGACAATCAACTTGTGACATTTTGAGCGTGTGTGGTAAGGGGAAAAAATGTGGATGCTTTCTCACAAAGGAAGGCCCGTGTGTGCCTGCTGCTGGTATTTTTATTGACCCTCAGTAGCCCCTGTTATGAGAGGTAAGCGCTTTCCTATTACCCAAGATTTTTCCCACATTTTTCCATTCTTTTCCTTCTTACCTGGCTGCAGCAGCTGCGTCTCGTCACGTTGATAGATCATGGGACTGTGGCAGGTGGAGCTGGAGTTGGTGGAGTCCATGGATTCGTCTATATTGCAACGGGTTATCCCAGCCTTCGGGGTAAAGTAATTGAAATTATATAGTTATTAGTCCTGCAGGGTATGCAATGCCATTAAACAATTTCAATTAAACCGCAAATAAAAGCTAAAAGTATCGTATTTATTTTCCCTTTTATTGAGTTTTCATTGCAGATATTTGAAAAAAAATTTATAAAACCTCATTTAATACAACTAAAAACTATAGAATTTAAACAAACATAATTAAAATTACATTATTAGATTTAAAATTTATGATAAACACGTGGAAATGTCAATGTCAAGGCTTGACATAAACTACAAATACCTAAACACGTTCAAGGCCAAATATTTTAATTAAAATGGATTTTTATAGAATATTTGGGAATCATTTTCACTTCAGATACTTCCAAAAACAATAAAAGTTAAGCTAAATTTTTGTTAAATTTTAATACATTTCCTTCTATTAAGTAAAAAATCAATGAGGATACAAAAAATGAATACTGTGGCTTAAATTACACAAAACCTTCTTGTTCTTGTGTCCACCTTCTCCCCCGCTTAATTATAATATAATCCCGGTAAACACACTCGGCTTCCTTTATTTACATAAAAAACTCATTTGGCTCTGGTAAGTAGGCTATGATTTTTTGTGCGGTCCGCAAACAATTGAACTAAACGTTTTACCCACTCATGCACACTCTCACGCACACCAGCACATCCACACTACCACACACACATACACGAACAGACTGTGGCAAGTGTGTTTGGATCCCCGCGGCGTTTTTAAGCAAATTGCCGCCCATTTGAATGCCAGAAATGTTTTTTTTCATCGCTCCTCTGGCATTTTTTTGCCTTTTCAATTTGCTAAACTTTGTCAATTGACTCTTGACAACGAACGCAAATAGAAATACTCTCACACACACCAGCATACTCTCACACACACACACACAGATGTGTGCAGTTGCTAAGTGGCCCCCTGTGCATGCCAGCTTAGCCATGCAAGTGTTAGTGTTTGCCTGCGTTTGTGTGTATGTGTGGCTTGGCTTGTTAGTTGGCATTAAAACACGTTTTTATAGAGTAGCGTATCTGAAAAAGGTGTATAGGGAAAATAGTTGTAAAAAATGGGAACTTTGATAGATGTTTGATAGTAAAAGCTTACACAATGATTATGTTTTTACAGGGAAGTAAACATAGAAAACTTTTAGCACAAGAACAAAATATTACTTTAAATTTTCATTTTATCACCAAGGTGTTCTTTTACCATTTACCATGGTTTATCTTAAATACATTTAGTCTTATGACAACAATTTCCAGACTACGTATTAAAATATTATATTGTTAAACTAAAAACTCAATCATTGTTTATGAACTTTTCTTTTTATACAAAACTTAAACAAACTATAAACCATTATTATACATACAACCCCCGGGCACCCTGAAATTAATTAAAGGAAAAAATTGAATTAAATCAAAAATGCGTTGGAAAAGTTTGAAGAGTTTCCAATTAGCCACAGGGCTTCGCTCCCTCAAGCCCAATTTCGGCATCGATTGCGATAAAACAATAAATTTAATTAAAGCAAAATTTGCTGACATGCAGCCGGCTGGCTTGTGCCAGATTGTTTGACTTTAAATATAAATAAATTTCCCAAGGGCCAAACTTCGGCCATCAATGAGATGTATTTAAATTTAGCTCGGCCCAGCTTATTTGCGGGACAATTGAATTAAATATTTAAATCCCACAACAGGTGGAGGGGATAGGTATGGGTATGGGTACTGGCCTGCCTTCGACGTTCCGTCCATTAGGCGGGCAAATTAATTGATTCCAGAATCCCCTAGAATACTCACCGCAATCAAACTGCTGCTAACCATGGCCTTGCCTCCCTTGGCACTCGTATTGAAATGTTCGATCACCTCCCAGTTGGACTTCTTGGGCGTCGACGGCTGGGTCTGGGTCTGCGGTGAGCCCGCTCCGGAGGAGGCTCCACCACCACCTCCGCCCTTGCCCTCCTGCCCAGGCACATGCAGCTCCATGGAGGCCTGTTGGCTCCCCGTCTGACGCAACGAGGCCGAGCGGCTAAAGAACTTTCTGTGCTTGCTCTCCTGGAAAAAATATGTAAAAACTGTTTGAGTAAACTTATTAAAAGAGCAAATAAATCTGAGATTGACCATGGAAAATGAGGGCAAAAAAAAGGAAACCATTTAAATCGCAACCCTCGAAAAAGGGTGTATTAACTAATATTTTTTTAAGGAATAACGTATTTTCTTAAGTGTACAGCCTTAGGTCTTCCCTTTTCCCTAGACATTTATTACGCAATGATTTTGTTATCGAGTGTAAGGGGTCAATTAGCTCACCTCCTTGCTGCTGGCCAGGCTCGAAGTTCCAGTACCGCCAGCTCCTCCGGCACCTCCTGCTCCTGCTGCTGCTCCATGGCGCATTCCCCGGAGAGACAGGCGTTTGGACCACTCCCGCTTCTGGCTCTCCGATGACAGCGAACGAAAGATGTGGGTGGCACCACCGCCCACCGCTCCACTTGGGCCACCTGTTCCCGTTCCTGGGGCACCGCTCATTGGTTGTCCCTCGAACCTCTGGTCCTGAAAGAGGAAAAACGGAAGAGATGGGGAAAGGAAATTGATTTTCATTTTACATGCTAAAAGAGGCACAAAGAACGAGAGAGGCAGTGCGCTAATTTCTAAACAAATTGCCAATTTTTGCGCTCGACAGCGACAGAAAATGGCATTAAAACAATAAATTCGATTTTGCACAGGCACAGGCAAGGAGGCAGGGAGGCAGGAAGGCAAACCCCAAAACAAAGCAACTCAAACAGAAACTGCCGCCCCCGCAGAAACACAGAAAAAAAGCATCGCAAACTGACGCCGCCAATAAATATATCGTATCTACTTTTCGGATTCCCCCCAGCACCCGCTTCCCACCTTCTATATATATACTTATGGATATATATGGGTTTTTAAGGTTTTTGTTTTTGGGTGCCGGCCCACTTAAGTCTCACGAAATGCTTGCCAGACACGCAAGGTCCTATCAAAACAGAAGCAGCGAAAGGGACGGGCATATTCGAAGAGAAAGAGATGGGTAGGCCCACAACGAGTACAACTTCAGATTGTTTGTTAAATTTTCGAATGAAACAAAAACTCGGAAGAAGGAAATTCAAAGAAATTTATCTGTGATCAAGCGAAGTTTTAATACCCTTTTAAGGTCGTAAAGTTGGAGAGATTATCTTAGAAATACTGCAGATGAGCTGGCAGGATGAAAGCTGAGATTATCTTGTTTTTATGGCAGTCTGGAAATGATGTTTGTCATATGAAAAGATATGCTTGTAGGTTCTCGAACAATAGGAATAAAAATCAGTTTCAACTTGGAATAAGGAAGAGTTTTCACTTTATATGTCAGCAGTTAATGTAATTATGATTGGATAAAAATATACGAGTATCTGAAGTTGGAGAAGAACGTAGCATATTTCTTAAAGAAAAGTCCTCTACCGACAACTAATGAGTGTTTTTATAATGAAATATTCAATAAATAATCATAAAATAATGCATTTTTGTTGGTTAAAAAGTATTATTAATAAGTTAAGCCACAAGCAACAAAGCTCCTTAGACGCAAACCTAAAAATCTTTAAATAAGACGAAGTAAGGCAAAGTTACTTTTTGCACGTACAATTTTGTATTTTAGGATGTGAGAAAGATTTTTACAGAAATTGTGAAGATTGTAGCGACGAAAGCCATTAATTTCATAACTTCTTTTCCTGAGCTATAAAATGATTAATTGATAATTTTGAATATATTTAAGAGCTTGTTAAGATATATAAAAAGAAATATAATATTTATTCAGTACAAACTCTCTCTTTAAATATTATTATTATTATTAAAATGTAACCAACTTTCTGATATAGTCAAGCTGCCCGCTTTCATTAGCATGCCAAACAAAACTGTGCCACAGACAACAGAAAAACAAAGGCAGGGTGAAAAAAAGCGGGAAGCGGGAAAAAGCGGAAATAAAAGGAAAGCAAGCCGTTTGAGGGAAAAACTTCCATTGTGGAAGGTCTTAAAGCCAAGCACAGGTCGTTCGCCGGTTTTCTTGGCTCTTCATCGTCTCGTCTTCATCATCGCCGTACTTTGCCTTTTGTCGGCTTTTGTTTTTGGCCAGAGGCGGCGTTGAAAACTTTGCCAATACAGGGCCAAAAGGGGAGCGAGCAGACGGCGAAGGGGAAGAAGGCCGAAAAGAAGTGCCTGGCCAACGGCATAAATATGTCAAAAACACAACGCTCCGCGTGCTATAAACAAATTGTTTTGCTGTTGCCAAAAAAATATATGAAAAATTTCAGCAGCAAAAATGTAAAGGAAAAATGATTTAAAAAAAGATAGCAAAGAGTTCTTGCAGAAGTACGAACCTATCGAATAACATAACAAACTGTTCAGGGAAATTCACTTAGGAAATTCCGTGGAAATTCTCATGAATCAGTTCGCACATATATTTGCCATTCAGAATTCTCTGCTTTTCATTTAAACATTTCAGACACCCGCCAAGCAAGAAATATGGGGCAGCGAAGTTCATAATATAAACTATAAGTCATATTTCGTAATTATACAAATGAAAAATATTTGTATTTCTGAAATGCTACTGAATAGGCTAAAACTGAGCCATTTAACACTTGATTACGTCTTTTAGAGGTTTGCATAATCAATAGAGTGAAAATTGGGTAGCCAATTCCCAATTTTCTTTAAGAAATTTGTCTGCAAAAGCCAACATCAATTAGGAAAAGTTTTCTAAATAGTAAAACTAGAGTCACAACTTTATGAATACATCCAAAAGTCAGCAAAGTTTGCTTCGAAACCAAAGCTAATAAAAAATACTCCGAAGTTTTCCCAACTTCTCACTCATATGCAAAATAGGCAAAGGAAGACTCAACTTCGAGGCTGGAAAATCCCTGAATACGTTACCCTGGCAATTGAAAAGTCCCCCTAACGAAAGCTCATAAATGTCGTCATCGTCTGTCATTCGACACTTTATGCCTGCCTTCAGGAATCATTTATTCAACGGCTTAAGTCTTAAGCTATTTTGCATTTTCCTCTGCTACTTTTCCCATTCGTGGTGAAGAAGAAGGTGAAGAAGTCTGCTGATAGAAAATGGGAATACAAACGGATTTAATTGGCCCGAACTTCAGGGAACAGCCGAGTATGCAATCAATCAAAAATTATATCTTTCGAATGCTAAATAGGATGATTAATCACAGGAATTCGCAGAAGAGAAATGGTTTATCATTCTTCACAGTTTGCAAATTATTAACTTTTATTTTGGATTTGAAATATCTCAGTTAATATTTTACATTTCCATGCTTTCTTTTTCTATCAATTTTAACTAATTCTTAGGACTTTATCCCAAGGAAAAGCTCATAAATAAATTAACATTTTTCTTTAACCAAGGGTTATACTGCCCTAAGTTCCTACGTGTATTCCTTGTTTGCATTTCTAATACAACAAGAGCTCGGAAAACTCCCACTAAATCAATGTCAACACCCCGATTTCCCAGCCTTCTGAAATATTTGCACACCTCGCCAGGTAAAATGGCAAGCAAACAGTTCTAATATCCAGGAAATAATGGTATATCGCTTCGCATATATTCGTTTCGTTTCGTTTCGATTCGATTCGATTCTATCGATGCCGCAGTCCGATGGCAATTCATTATGTTAATGGCGCTAATGGTCTGGCAAATATTGTGCCAGCAACAAAAACACCATCGCGGCCAAAACAAGAAAGCACAGCAACAACACCCAGGATAAACTTTTGTGTCAGCTTCGAGCCAAACAAAAATTAATAAAAACAAAACCAATTTGATAAGCGAAGCAAATTAATGAGGGCAGCACTCTTTTTCCGCCCACACTCTCTCTCTCTCTCTCTACCTCTCTTCCCCTTAAAAAGTGCGACATGTGTAAAAGGGGGGGGAAAAGGGGGAGTAAGTACTAAAGGTTTCAGTGGTGAATGAGTTTGCCTGACTTCGGAATACCTGGTAACTGGAATTTATAGTAAATGAGACAGTAAAAGATAATAACATTTCTAAATTCAAAGTAATTTGTATGTTCAAAACGTAAAAATATAATAAATAATACCCAATTTCTTAAAGAAATTCCCAAAAAAATAGAAGTTTTTAGTTTTATAATCAAAAATCTATCAAAAAGCCTTATTAATAAACACCTCAAAAACATTACAGCCCATAAACTAAGTATTATCTATGAAATATGCCACATAATCCAGGAAATGCTGGATTTAATACCTACCACTGCCGATTGAGTCCGAAAGAGTTTTTGTGTGGGGGGAAGCTTTGTATGCCTTCTCTTCCGCGCCTCCTCATGCATATTCATTCATTAACCGGGCAACCGAACAGCTGCTGGCATTTGGCATCGCATTTGGCACCCTCCCCCCTCATCCACCCTCTTTTGAGACAGCCCAACTATAGCACCACCCCATCCTCCAATTAACCACCCATGTTTTAGCCTCCAGGTAAGTTCTCTCTAAATATAGTTAGTGAAGCCAGCATTCACGCACTAACACACGTGCGACCAACACTTACCCACATACTCAAAAACGCAAACGCCGCAAAGGCATTGAGAAAAATAAGTACAACTTGTTAAGACTCAAGTCGAATGTTAAAATAAAGAAAAAATTGAAAATCTGTTAAGGATACTTAAACCAAAAAGTAATTCTTTAAATTTTTAATATTCATTATTAGAATCTTCGAAACACTACCAAAGGGAGGATTCTTGATTTTACATTATCCTGAAGACATGTCCTGAAGTAATATTCTAAACTTTCAAATCCCAAACATTTTCCTCCAAAATACTTCCAACTATTTTTCTTTCAGTGCCCCCTGTATATATATTTTTAGATACCGCCAAATGTTTATGCTGCCATGTGCCGCCTGCTGCTGTTTGTTGCCGTTTCTGATTTTTTGGTGTTGCTGGCTTTTTGTTTACGCATCGTCATCTTTGGGCGTTTTGTCTAATGTTTGCCTTTCATTTGACGCGCTGAGGTGTTTTTCGTAGGTACAAAATTTGCATTGCCAAACGAATTCATTAGCCGATCCGAAAGTTGGGAAATGGCTATACAAATGCGTGTGCCATTGGAAAACTGGCCCTGGCAGTGAACAGACGGAAATATATAAAAGGAAAAGCTTTTGACTAATCAAAAGGTCAAACATTGATGAGCACTCAGGTGCTATTCTAGCAGCCCCCAGAAAACACTACGGAGTCTAAAGGAATTCATTAATGATCTAATGGAAATACTTAATTGATTTTATTATTTTTAGAAATTTGACTTGTTTTCTCTTATAATTTACCGATAACAAAACCTTTTCGTTTACCACTTCGTATGAAAGCTTTTGGGATTATTTGATTGAATTTTCGTAGGAATCCATGAGATTGATTTATATTGAATCCTAAATTACTCAGCCAAACATTTATTTAGATTTCTATCCAGAAATTCCGCCCAAGGTCTAGCATCCCATCAATTAAAATTCTCTAATGAGCAATCGAATTAATTTGGTGGAAAGGGAAAAACCAAAAACTAGAATATGTGCGGCT